ATTGTTTACTTTCACTTTTTTTACATTTACTTTGTTTACATTTACTTTATTTACATTTACTTTGTTTACTTTTACTTTTACTTTGTTTGCTTTTACTTTGTTTAAATTTACTTTGTTTAAATTTACTTTGTTTACATTTACTTTGTTTACGTTTACTTTGTTTACATTAACTTTGTTTTCATTTACTGGATTACATTTACTTTGTTTACATTTACTTTGTTTACATTTACTTTGTTTACATTTACTTTGTTTACATTTACTTTGTTTACATTTAATTTGTTTACATTTACTTTGTTTACTTTTACTTTATTTACATTTACTGTGTTTACACTTACTTTGTTTACATTTACTTTGTTTACATTAACTTTGTTAACATTTACTGGATTACAATTACTTTGTTTACATTTACTTTGTTTACATTAACTTTTTTAACATTTACTGGATTACATTTAATTTGTTTAGATTTACTTTGTTTACGTTAACTTTGTTAACATTTACTGGATTACATTTACTTTGTTTACATTTAATTTGTTTACATTTACTTTGTTTACATTAACTTTTTTAATGTTAGCAATATGTTCTCTTCAATATTTAAAGGATTTATTTCTGCACAATTAGTCCCCAGCATATTTAACTTTGCTAGACATCAAGGGGGGATAGAAAAAAAAAGCTAGAAATTACACGTAGTGAGTGAGGGGGGGGGCTTGCGGAAAATAACAACTTCAAAACAATATTCAAGAAGAGGTTAAATTAAAAAAATGGAGTTTTAAAAATTATTTTGATGTAATCTTTTGACAATGTATATTGAATATTGTGAATCTAATAGATTTACATTGTATTTAGTGTATACACTCTATACTCTAACACCTTGTATCATGTTTATAATAAATCAATATATTCAGAGAGACAGGGTGAGTGGGGAGACATAAGTCCTAACTGACGACGTGTTCCTAAGCTAAGCCGATCTAGGAACTTCTAAATGCACGAAATGAGCTTTCCTCTTTAGGAAGATTTTACTATAATTTCTAATAAGCTATTTTTATGATTTTTTATAAATGAACGGAAGACATCTATATATATAAAGATGTAATCTCTGTTTGTCTGTCTGTGTGTTTGTTCGATCATAACTCAAGAACCCCTTGACCGATTTGTCTCAAATTTTGATTGAGGAACTTGGGAGAACCATGGGAATACTCTTTGCTTGGTTTGAGATTCTGAGTTGATTGGGTCAACTTTAACAGTGAAAATTTAGTTTCCCGGTACAATCGATCTTCCAGTAAGGTTTAGGGTAAACGGGAGGAGTAACTTTTAGTAACCTTGGCAACGCTAGACTTCCAAGCTAGTATTGATGAATTTGATAATCCTATATGTTCATCTTTCTCTCCTTTCTTCTCTCTTGTTAAAGTTCCTTTGGCCAGTGCATTTTGGAGCTGTTTTTGAAAGAATTAAACCAGGTCACTGTCTTTGCGCCAGTTTCAAGACATTCATAAGATTACACTAAATATTTTTATCTACAATGAGACCCGTAAAACAGGGGTCCATTTGGGTCCATATAATTCGATTCTGATCCCGAATGGGATCGGGGTTGAAAGAATATTCAGGGAAAATTTATGGGCATGAAATTACACTTTCTGTGTCATTGTAAACTTAGGCAAGTTTTTAGTGAACGTGTACTACACTTCAGAAATTTCAGCATTGTTCGAAGTATCATCATATCGTGAGCCTGCAGGGTTACTCTCATGAAGACTGAGACTTTAATAATGACAACTCTTTAGATTTGACGCGGGTTAAAGGTTAAAGTTTTTAATGTATCTCGTAAATGGTTGTTGAGCTCAAAATGTGGCAATAAGAACAAGGCAGGGTTGGCTTCCCGAAGAAAGGAGGGATATTTGTTTCCCAATCGTGGGTTCCCTCAGGCAACTAAAGTTCTCAGGTTGGCAAGTTAGAAAGTTGGCAATAAGAACAAGGCAGGGTTGGCTTCCCGAAGAAAGGAGGGATATTTGTTACCCAATCGTGGGTTCCCTCAGGCAACTAAAGTTCTCAGGTTGGCAAGTTAGAAAGTTGGCAATAAGAACTAGGCAGAGTTGGCTTCCCGGAGAAAGGAGGGATATTTGTTTCCCAATTGTCGGTTCCCCCAGGCAACTAAAGTTCTTAGGTTGGCAATATGTTGGAAATTGTTCGTAGCTTCCCACGAATTCTCCTCTAAACCATGGACGATAATATCAGAAAAGTCTATATTTCGATCCTAGAAATAAATACAAATCAACAATGATTATTACTTGGGTTTGAATATATAATGTTAACGATAATTATTTTTTAATATGAAATGAGCTTACTATTGACTGGATAGTGGATAGACATGGATAGGCGGGCTATTAAACAGTGCTAAAACAACGTTTTTATCTTCTGAAATAAAATGACAGTTTAATTGCAAAGATTTATAAAAAAGGAATAATGGAATTTAAAGGTTTAACTATATTTGAAGCATGACCACTACACGAGAGGATGTTTACTTTTCTGCCGGAGGTATAAAATGTTTGGAATTTGGCCACCGGAGAAAATCTTGGTCAAAGATGACCTTACAGCGGAGTAAGCTTAATCCGTTGGATAACAATAGTCTTTATGAAGCTATTTAATGATTCCATAAAAAATATAATCGTAAAGTTTCGGGGAACTATGATAGTTAAAAATAAGATGAATTAATCGTACAGTCTTCTTTGAAGTCTCATAGTTTGTGGATAACCCTGTAGATCAAATAAAATATGTGTCGTAGGAAAAACATGTTTGTAATTTTAAAACTTGAAATAATGTTTTATATATTGCGTTGCAGTTCTCAATAATAAAATAAAATAATACAGTTATAGAGAAAAGATAAATTAAATAATAATTATATGCAACAGCATTTGAAAATTTTTTATTTTTATTTTAATCAATAACTAGCTGAAGGGCATGGCGTTGCCCGTGAAAAAAAATTTGAAAAACAATTTTTGAAAAATAATAATTTAAAAATAAAATTTCAAACTTTTTTAGCCTATAACACCCCCTGGCCACCCATGAGTGCCCATAAAAAAATTCAGCCCAATCGGTCCAGCCGTTTGGCCGGCTATACGCAACATATATATATACGAATGTCTTGTTTTATTATATAGATAAAATAGTAAAGTTTATTGTTTGAAAATTCTATAACATATTAATTCTTCTGAACATAGTATTGTAAGTTGTAACCATATATAAAACAAAATATCAAAAAAATTAAATGTTAAACAAAGATTATATTTATTTGTGTCATGGATCATCCAACTTCTTACTCCATGATCTGAACCATAAAGACCAAATAAATTTTTATACATTTTTGGTCGGAAACCCCTCATGGGTCAAAAAATCCTTTATAGATCAGAAAAAACATATTTACTGTCCATTTCCTGTGCATGAAAGGTTCTTATTTATATTACCATCGTAATTTAAAGGTATACAGGGTTATACAACAAAGAATGAAACTTTAATGACGACCTTAAACTCTTTCTAACTAACTGTCTGACAGGGGCGTACGAGGGATTTTGTTTAGGGGGGGCACAATTATGATTTTTTTCAGTAGAGAGCTCAGACAGCCTTATAGGGTGTAAAGCTATAAGTGCAAGATCTTTAAGTCTGCTCTCCGTCATAGTACATCTTGTGTAAAGAAGTATTCTCTTTAGAAGGCTAAAACTTCTCTCCTTGTATTAACAGTGAATTTAGACAAATCCTTAGTCTTTTTCAGTCTTTTTCATTGTCAGGTGTTACTTTCTAAACGTAGTTTCCTTTTAATTTTTGTTTTTGGAACTCCCAGGGGGGGCAAGAGGACTACTGCCCCCCCTGGGTACACCACTGCGCCTGACCTGAGGAAGGAAAATGCAAGCAGATGTAATATTAAAAGAGCCTCCCCCATGGGTGCCCCCCCCTCAGCCTCTCAGGGGGGGGGGCACGCGTAGAGGGGGGCGGGGGGGCGCGGCCCCCCCTCGTACACCCCTGCTGTCTGCAGGTTGAATTAGATTTGAAGTCTTAAATATAAATGGTCTTAAAATGGTACATTAGATGATTTGCAAAGTAAGCAAAAAGAATACACAGCTGCTTGGAACCATGAATTTATAAGATCAGGTAAAATAAATTCTGTTTAGTCGTCTCTGGAAGTCTCATCCTTTGTGGGTAACCTTGTATACGATAGAGCAATTTTTTTCTTAAATAGAAACAATCGTTGACTCGCGCGATATTTATGAAAATGTATATTTTTTAAATCTAGGTTTTTCCTATGATTCATACTAACGTCAGAGAATCATAACAATAGAGAGACTTGTTATTATTACTATTATTATTATTACATATTGGAGAGAAAAGTTGTTTTTAACGTCCGTTAGAAGTTTTTTTGTTTGTTTTGATTTGTAGAAAATTAACAAAGACGACTGCTTATCAAGAAGACTTTGCGAAAATGCCGCAACTTATTTTAGATAGTTAAATCGGTGTGTTCAAAATATTTATAATTTAACCGTAAAATCTGTGAAATCGTGGATACTATTGCACCATAGTTGTCATAACCAATCCCTGAAAAACAAGCATTGTCCCTCAGCAGTACGGGTTCGAACCTCGAAGGTTAACTGCAGGGTCCGTCCTAGTCTACGATTTTTGGACCCCTCCCCCCGCCCGGCCCTCCTATCAATTTTGTACATGACCACTTTTTCAACAAAATTAGTATATATTTAGGGTTAGGTTAGGTTAAGGCACTTTCTGGGCTGAGCGCTGCGGCTAGGACATGCCTGGGGGCCGAGCGCCGTGGTTAGGACAGACTATGTGGCCGAGCGCCGCGGCTAGGACAGACTAGGGGGCCGGACTCTGCGGCCACATGGTCAAATATATCCATGTTTTACACATAAGATCCATGTTCTTATTGATAGGAGGGGGGCGGGGGGTCCAAAAATCGTATTTTAGGAAATTACTTAACCTATTTAACAGTGGTGTACAGAGGTCACAAGAAACAAAATATACTACAATGCGTATACAAGGGATGGACGACCTGGTGGGCAATCCCGGGATCAACAAAATCTATGATTTCAAAGGAGTTTTGTCCCTGACGGGTGCTTGTCATATAAAGTATGTCTTCACAAACTCCTGTTCAGCTTCCATCCAGGTTGTGCAACCTCAAACTGCTCTATTAATTTCTTACTTTATGTGGCTAAAATTTGAGCCTCTTTTTATGTACATGAAATTTAAGGACACGATCATAATGTTGTTTGGACCGTCCCGGCTCCCACCCCTCCTCCCCTTCATCTAAAAGTGTACATGAAATATATTAAGTATCATTCCAGGGTAGGGTTAGGTTAGGTTAAGACAATTTCTGGGCCGAGTGCCGTGGCTAGTACAGGCTTAGGGACCGAGTGCCGCGGTTAGGACAGGCTAGGGGGCCGGGCGCTGTGGCCATAAGTTATACATTGACTATGAACATATGATGAATGGGGGGGGGGGAAAGTCCATAAATACCTCTCTAGGAAATTACCACTGCGAGTGCCCGGCACGGACTGAAACCAGAGTTGCCAGATGGGATGGGTTAAAAATCCCCTACAGCAAGAGAAATGCATCGGTATATTCCTAGAGAACGATTTTTGGACCCCCCCCAGCCCCCCCCCCTCCTATCAATTTTGTACATGGGTCTGACAGGAAGTGTCTTAACTTAACCTAACCTGTGGCCGCAGCGCTCGGCCCCCTAGCCTGTCCTAGCAGCAGCGCTCGGCCCAGAAAGTGTCTTAACTAACCTAACATGTGGCCGCAGCGCTCGGCCCCCTAGCCCATCCTAGCTGCAGCGCTCGGCCCAGAAAGTGTCTTAACCTAACCTAACCCTAAATAACAAAAAAATAAATAATAATAAATTTGCTGAAAAATAAATGGTCATGTACAAAATTGATGGGAGGGGGGGGGTCCAAAAATCGTTCTCTAGGACAGACCGAATGCACCCCTAAAAACGAAAAATAAAGGCATCGTCAAATGAATTATTTCAGGTTTTATTATATGGTATTTCCGTAACCCAAAATATCCTGCAACAGGTTGAAATCCCTAATTTGTAACTCTGGACTGAAACTTCCAGTTTTTTGTGTTTAAAATGGATAAGAGAAAACCACACTTGATACTTGGAAAAATATACTCCTGACTATTGTCCTCGAGCTAAATATAGTTATTAAAGAAAACTCTAAATTATAGAAGAATGTGTGATGATGAGGAACTATGTATGCCTCTATACTGGAGATGCCAGGATCTTCAGAATAAACTCCTGGAGGAGCAGGATCAGGGAGCGAGGAGTCAGATTATAATAAAATCTATTCAGGTCAGAATATATTTAGTTGTAAACTCGTCGGAATTAATCTTTCCGTTTAAAAGAGCGGCATTCTTGGCATGCCCGATTCATATTGATACCGTTTTAATCGCGGTTTTCTAGCTTAAACCTTTGTATTTCTGGCAAGTTGCTACATTGTTGAGTAGATATCTACAAACAACTTTTTTAGAGAAATCAATACAATCTTAAGATATCCCTTCTGAGGGTATCATTGTCAATCAGACATGCCACTCTGTTTTAATTGTAAGTGCCTCAGGAGTTTTTATGCGTCACGGTTTATTAAAGAATCAACCTATCTTTAGATCTATTATTCCTTGATATTCAGGTATTTATTACTTCAGGAGAACTTGGCAGAATTTAGTAAATACTCGGAGAAAATAGTTTTATTATTCCTTGATATTCAGATATTTATTATTTCAGGAGAACTTGGCAGAATTTAGTAAATACTCGGAGAAAATAGTTTTATCATTCCTTGATATTCAGATATTTATTATTTCAGGAGAACTTGGCAGAATTTAGTAAACACTCGGAGAAAATAGTTTTCTCTCCAGATCTTTCCTGGTTCAATACTCCTCAACCCCTCAAAAGGAACATTTTAATTCATTTACAAACCATTGTTTTATGCTGGATGGTAGAGGTAATTTTAATTTATCCTCCAATTCACAACAGTACCTTTAAAAGGTTTGATTGTGCTTTAAAAACTTAAAATTTATAATAAAAAGCAAGAAAAATGTTTAAATTTTGAATTAATTTGGATTCGTTAGGCAAAGTTTTGATGGGTTGATAACAGTTATTGATTTCTTTACGTACTGCTGTATCAACTGTATGCATATTTTGCCAGATCTAGGTAGGTTAGAGCTGTTTTAATAAATTCAGATATGCCAAAATATTTATATATTAAAGCGGTGTCTTTTGTGATTCTTTTGTTTTTGTCTAATAAACGTCAACACGGCTGAGCCAATCGTTATAGGGGAAATCTGTGAAAACTTCAATTGCTGTTCAAATGTCCGCTTGTGGTTTTTTTAAATAATTGATTTGTAAAGCTTAGAGCTTCGCAATTGTTAATTTTTAATTCAAGATTAGTTCTTAATTCATTTGTTTAGAGACGGTTGAGTCAATGTTTCCAACTGAAGTATGTGTGGTTGGAGTTCACAGTGCCAAGTTTGAGAATGAGAAATCAGAAACACAAATTGAACACGCTATTCAGAGGTATGTGTAATCTCTTAGCTCTTACACATTTGTTTAAGCGACCATAACTAAACAAAGAATTTGGAGGTTTTTTCATTTGACAGAAAAATGTCATCATTGTAATTAAGGGATAACATTAAAAATGCTCTTTTCTAATAATGAAAAAAGTTCATTAAACAACAATTGTATATATCACAAAAAATAAATATTTAATTTATATATATAAATATATAAATATATATAGCTTAAAACTAGTCTAGAACATTTTCTATTATTTATTAAGATTGGTTATTGCTGGACACTGTTTCATGTTTGACATTAATTAGCAGAATGATTGCGGATTTAAAAAAAAACAATTGCACTTAAAAAAATCAAAATATATATATATGCAATATATAATGTATATAAATGTATGCGTAATAATGTAGCGTGTTTTCCAGGTATAATATCGAGCACCCAGTCTGTAATGATAAATCTCTTCAGCTCTGGAAAAGTTTAGGTTTACACTCAAACACCTCATACTAGCATGGCATGGATGAGGGGGGGGGGAGTTTAAAGGCTTTTTTATATTTACAACAACATAAAGTTGCTATCATGATGATGGGCGGAAATATATTTTTGGGTTGAGAAGGAGGGGGGTGGGTATGATCTGTTTTAATCCTGATGGTTTCAATATTTTAAGATAAATTAAAAAAATCAGTTTTACGAAGTTTCTTGCTATTTCTGTACTTAATGCCTTTTCTAAGAGAGCTTACAAATGTTAGAATGAGCCAATTGACGGTTTAAAAATTCACCACATTATTCCTTTGCTTTTTGAGTGTTTTATTTTTAAGGTGTAACTTGCTGGCCAACTCTCCTTATCCTCTCTCCTACAGGAGTTCCTATTCAGGTTCTCATGGGGGAGGGACACTCAGGATTCCTAATAGAGTTCCTTAACACTGCTATTAAATACTTTAAAGGTAAATAGGAGTTCCTATTCAGGTTTTCATGGGGGAGGGACATCCAGGGTTCAAAATCTATTAAATACTTAAAAGGTACAAATAAGAGTTCCTATTCAGGGTTTCATCCAGGGTTCAAAATTGAGTTCCTGAACACTGCTATTAATTACTTTAAAAAGTTGGTGGACGGATACCTAGGAATATAAACTGTACAGATTGGTTTAGGTATTGGAGAACTAGTTGGGAGGACGGAATACCTAGGAGTATAATAAACTCTATAGAATGGTTTAGGTACTGGAGAATTAGTTGGAGGACGGATACCTAGAAGTATAATAAACTCTATAGATTGGTTTAGGTACTGGAGAACTAGTTGGGAGGACGGATACCTAGGAATATAAACTCTACAGATTGGTTTAGGTATTGGAGAACTAGTTGGGAGGACGGATACCTAGGAGTATGATAAACTCTATAGAATGGTTTAGGTACTGGAGAATTAGTTGGAGGACGGATACCTAGAAGTATTATAAACTCTATAGATTGGTTTAGGTACTGGAGAACTAGTTGGGAGGACGGATACCTAGGAATATAAACTCTATAGATTGGTTTAGGTACTGGAGAACTAGTTGAAGGACGGATACCTAGAAGTATAATAAACTCGATAGATTGGTTTAGGTAATGGAGAACTAGTTGGAGGACGGATACCTAGGAGTATAATAAACTCGATAGATTGGTTTAGGTACTGGAGAACTAGTTGGGAGGACGGATATTTAGGAATATAAACTCTATAGATTAGTTTAGGTACTGGAGAACTAGTTGAAGGACGGATACCTAGGAGTATAATAAACTATAGATTGGTTTAGGTACTGGAGAACTAGTTGAAGGACGGATACCTAGGAATATAAACTCTATAGAATGGTTTAGGTACTGGAGAACTAGTTGGAGGACGGATACCTAGGAGTATAATAAACTCTATAGATTGGTTTAGGTACTGGAGAACTAGTTGAAGGACGGATACCTAGAAGTATAAACTCTAAAGTTGGCGGGTTCAATCTGAAATATCCTGGAAAAATAACATTGCACAATCAAAACTTGGGTAAGGATATATTAACTCTCTTTGTGTGAATTCAAAATTATCAAATGTTCTTGTATATAATAAGTTATGATTATTTTTTAAGTTGTATCCGATAGTGGGAATAACAGGATCCTGATCCTGAATCTTGAGTCAGGATGCTCCGCAACCGTCCTACATACAATAGGGTCCGGAGTCCGGGGTAGGCAGGACGGAGAGTACGGTTCTTCATCCTTCAATAATCCCCAGGGTTAGTATTACAAATCAATATATATATTTCTGGACCTACAAAGCAAAATCTGAATAAATATAATATTTGATTGGTACACAAGATTATTGATTGATTGAAAAATTGACAGTCGTTTTGGTTAGCTTTAAGTGATTGGTTTCTTGAACCTGTTGGAAGAGTTGCCCTGCTTAATTAATTTTGATTTTATTTGGATTCTATGATTATTGTCTGATTGATTGATTGGTTGGTTGGTTGATTGATTGATTGATTGATTCATTGTGTAGGTTTATGTTATATCGGAGAAGATCTGTTGATGGTATCGGATACTGACAATCATCTTCTCAGAATGATAAATCTTAAAACCCAAAGGTATCAGGATTCATTTTATCAAGCCGAATATCGTGCCATTTCTAATGACAAAATGTGAACATTCTATTTTTATATGTTACTAAATCTGACTTGACTAAAGAATCCTTTTTTGAAAGGTTCAGGAGAATTTTTTTTTTAAAGAAAAGGTCAGGAAATCTTTTTAAGATGTTCAGGAGAAACGTTTTAAATCCTCAATAAATTGTCGAAGAAGAGATATATCTAATATTGTTTAGAGTGAGTACTGTAGGAGGGACTGGAGTACAGGGAGTGGATAAGGAGGGAGGAAAAACAGGATTGGAACAAGAGATATCTTCTCCTTGGGATATTGTCAAGATCAACGAAGGAGCTGTAGCAGTTGCAATGGCCGGAACTCATCAGGTTTTTGTTTTCTTTAATTTCTTAGCATTTCAGAACCCACTCTTTTAAAAGTTCTTGTAGAGGTAAAGAGTGATAATTCTCAAAAATTCTTTATAAAACTAAATATTGTTTTCTTGTACTCCAAGATGTATCCACCTAGATCTGGATGTATTGTTTGGCTGAGGTTGGATGGTGGAAAGGATTGGTTTACCCTGCAGGAACCCTGGTTAGGATTGCAGGGAGCGGAGCTGAGGAGAATAGGAATAATTCATATCCGGCCAAAGCAGGGTTCGCTCAACCCAGTGGACTCTCCTTAGATCAATCTCAGGGAACCCTGTTCATTGCAGATAGCGAGAGTTCCACAGTTAGAAGGTATTTTTAGCCTTTTAGGTAAAAATATTTCCGATTTTCATGAAAATCTTCGATAATTTTTAAAGTGTTTGTGTGGGGGGGGGGGGAAACGAAATGTTACGTGGGCGTCAGTTTTTAAAAGTTCGAGTGTGATTTTCGATGATCTTGGGGGCAAAGGGAATTAAAAAGTTTGTCTGTTTTTCCGAAAAATAATTTTGTCTTCCTCAAAATTAAAAACATCGAACTTTCAACCTAATCTGAAAAAATATTTGAAGAAAGTGGGATGGGAGTGGGGGTGGGGGGTTGATGTTTTAGTAAAATATTGATTATTACGAGTTTCTACAATATTTAGGATGGATCTGAAGGATGGTTGTGTTAAGAATGTTGTTGGAGGAGAGAGAGATCCCATGAATCTGTTCGGATTCGGAGATATCGACGCTAGCGGGGTAAACGCTAAACTTCAACACCCCCTGGCGGTGGCCTGGAATCCAATTAGGTTATGCACCTTAATATTCATTTACGTCCCATTTATTTGATGGCTGATTGATTGACGGTTAATTGATTGATTATTTGCCTAATTGTTCATCAGTTGAAATATTAGGAAGGAGCTCTACGTTGCGGATTCATATAATCACAAAATCAAGAAGATAAGCGGACCAAAGGAATGTTTTTTACAACAAAATTTAGTTATTTTATAGCTTCAAGTAAAACATATATTAAAGAAGAAGATAGTGGAAGAATTTCAAGAATGTCGCTTTGAACGTTAGTTAGTGATTGATGTAACTGAATGTTGTCTTGTATATTCCAAGCTATCAAAGGTTAGCTATCAAAGGTTTCCGAATGTAGCTTCACAGGGATATATGTAGGAGCTGAAGTTCTTGATCAACCAGGGTTGTAAATCCTAAGCCTAACCAAACCCTCCAGAAGAAATTCTGTGGCAGTACGGTCTTCGGATAGTATAATGCATAAACAAATGTAGCTTCACAGGGATATATGTAGTTTACTAAAACATAATCAAAATTTCTGTGTTGAGAGTTCAAGTTTCTTTTGGATTACAAATTATAAGTTTGTTGTTGTTGTTGTAAAGATAAAATAGCCGTGAACCACGCAGAACAGATATCTAAGAGCTTGGTATTATAGAGTCCTGATTTGTTAAAAAATGCGAATTCAATTCAATAAAAAACCGAATATCCGCGACATTTGATAATTTATACGCTTGAAAAACGATATTTTTTAAATTCTACCATTGTCATTTTTAATATGGGTTTTACTGAAGTAATGCTGACATTCATTTTAAATGTTACCTTGAACCTTGATAATGTGTGACACTAAATCTTATTATAGCCTAGTTCAGCCTTTTGTTGTTGTTGTAGACTATAGAAAGAAAAAATGATACTTGAAAATTTTGCAGTTCATTTTTTGTAGGATTTCCAATTTTCAACTCCAATTTTCCAATTCTAAACCTTGCCTGGGTGTTGTCAAAGTTCTTGCAATATTTTGAACTCTATCGGCTTAACCGTTTATACGTTTTTTGGTTACTAACAAACAGTGGGCTCCTTAAAACTGTTGAATAGGAGAACGAATCGTTAACTCTAGTTATAATTTAAATAGTTCAATGATGATTAAAAACAAAGCCATTATGCAGTTTACACTTATTAACTTGAATTTTAGGCTAATTATAAACTATTTGCTTCACAACAACATAAGATTACGTTAATATCGTCTTCATATTCCACAGTGAACGGGTGTCACTCTAGAAAGATATTCAATTGTAAAAAGCCTGAATAAGCAGAATGACTGTATAAGCCTGGTTGGGAAAGATCCTGGGGACCAGATCGGAGATTCTATACTCGCCAGGTAATTAAAATCAAAAACAGAATAATATAATTTATTTTTTCAACTTAGTTAAATCAAGTCCGTATGATTTATTTCAACAAAATCATTTTTTTGGACAAATGCAATTTTCTAATATTATTTTTTTCCATTACAGGAACTATCATTATAAATTTAAGTAAAAAGAAGCATGTCCGATTCATAACGGTTCCCTATAAACGCCATCTGATCCCTAATGCGGAAATCAGTTTCATAGAGAAAGCATAATTGAAAATAACCAATTTTTGAAAGAGAAATTACGGATTTTATTATTTTTGATCTTTTAAGAGTAATGTTGTGAATCAGACATGATATTTGATAAATGAAGAGGAGGGGGCGAAAACGTCATGTGTGTGTGTCTGTACCAAAAGAGTGTGTGTAAAGTGTACCGAACCGAAGGCGTGTACTGTAGGTATATACATTATACAGTACATTGGAATCTCGGTATTTGTACAGTCTAGTAGAGTACATTTGTTTATTGTGAATTGTTTACTTAAAAATAAGTTTAATATACATGTATATTATTTATATATTTTTAAGTCAACACTATACAGCCAAATTTTCATGCAAAGAATATAATTTGATTAAAGTTTACAATAAACTAGTCGTTATTCAAGTTTAATTATAATTGACGACATTGTTCTGCAATTTCCTTGGCTGTAGTCATGTTGTGTGTCTGTACCAAAAGAGTGTGTGTAAATATTGCCGTACTGGTCTGCAAAGCAGTGCGACTGGCTTTCTCATGCTAGACCAGCGCCATTTCCTTTCCCTTTATTCCTATTCCCTGATGAAGAGTCCCCAACTATCAAGCTTATCAGAGTATATGATTAGATTATGTGAACCTGGTGGTATATCTGTATCTGAGGACGGTAGTTTACTTTATATTGCGGACACTAACAATCATGCTGTTAAAGCACTCAACCTGGATACTCTTACTCTTCACAGGGTTGGGATCAAATTCCCAGGTAATTATTGGGATTATTGGAGGGGTATATGTTCTTGAAAAATCATTTCCCTCCTTAAAATCAGTGTCAAATATATAAGAAACTTTCTATTGCTGAACTACAAGTTTTTGAAAAATAAATGTTTTTTTAGAGGAAGGGGGGAAGGGAGAGCATCAGAGGAAAAGATTTTCAAAACTATAAGACTNCCCCCCTCCTGTGGTATTTATTTAAATATATTTTATTTCCTTTTTGAAAATATTAATTACATTTTTATGATACATAATTAGCACTCAGAAAGACAATATTACCCTGATTTTAGAATCTACTGAGAAGTTTGACAACGTTATTGAACACAAGATCGAGGGTAATTTTTCTGATGGACTAGAGCTGAACGCTAGCCTGGAGCACTTGGAGTATAAACTCAACGCTGATGGAACGTCTTCTTGGAGACTAGAGAGTACAGACCAGGGTTGGAAATATCCAAACTCTGGAGAATTATCATCTTCAAACCTTTCCATCCCACTAGTGTGGGACGGAGCAGATACAGCTGTAACTCTAAACCTTAATCTAAAAATCTATCTCTGTAGTAAAAATGATGGTGTTTGTTTAGCTAAAAATATTCTTCATAAGCTTGAAATTAGAAATATATCCGGAGGAAATCACGTTAGTGTAGTCAGTCTTGGGTCTTTGCTGACTTATTAGAACATGCATAATACATAGTGTCACGTTTCGTACCCATATTTCTTACTGTCATGTCCAATGTCCATCGGAGGAATACTAATGACAATTGTTTTTGTCAAGCTTTTCAATTGTTAGATGACTTCTTACGTAATACATATGATCTGTATTCTGTTCTCTTATCAATTCTTTTTTTTTACTTCATAAACATCTTATTATTTTACTTATTATATAAATCGTTATTATGTTTATAAACTCGTGTGTATTAAATAGTTAATTGTATTTTTTCCATTTTTATCATTTACTCGTTAGTAATTTTAATTCTTCTTATGAACAATGAACGATGTTCAAATATGTCTTCCAAAAGTGCTTGCTTTTCTAGCTATATATTGTTAAATATTTACAAGAATATGTAATCCGCGAACTGCCCTTGAAAAATTCACAAAAAATGTTATCACTTACAGAACTATAAAGTAAACATATTGTTAACAAAGCCTAAACCAAAGACTACCTAAGCTAATATTGTAATATTTAAAGTATAGGTGACTCATGCTAAAACCCTCTCCCAGCCTCACACCTTTATCTCTTTGTTTCTTATAATGAATGTGGAGTAGTTAACCTGAACTGATTCATTAAGATTCGGCAGTGCACCCTAGACCTTTGAACCGAACAGACGTATGAGCCCAAGCTCCGTTTGTTCAACCAAAGGCTAGGGGACAGGAAATTCATGGACAGCTCTCAGAAGGCTTACAGCTTGTGGACTTACATAATTATATCTTACATGATCATATCTTCAGGAATACAATAAACCACTGATGAGACAGATATCTCAGGTTTACAATAGAATCAGAGATATGTGGTTCCACCTCAACACAGCTGGTTCAACTACCTACACACTCTAATACTCCAGGTGTATCTATGGTTAGAAACACTGGAGACTCCGAGGATCGCTGGAACTGTAGAACGGACAATAGAATCCGAGCAATGTAGTTCCACCTCTATACAGCTGGTTCAACTCCCTACACCCTCTAATATTCCAGGAGTTTCTATGGTTAGAAACACTGGAGACTTAGAAGATAATACAGACTAATGAATCCAGGTGAAAAAGAGATCATGAGGATCTATCAAGATTGGATCTACCAAGCTACTAATATGATAAAGAGATTACGAAGATAAAGAGCATACTGTAGAAATGCAGAGCAGACTACAGACCACGGAGATATAGAGCAGACTGTAGATCAACAGAGATGCAGAGCATACTTCAGATCACGGAGATATAGAGCATACTTTAGAGATGCAGAGCAGACTACAGATAACGGAGATATAGAGCATACTGTAGAGATGCAGAGCAGACTACAGATCACGGAGATATAAATCAGACTGTAGATCAACAGAGATGCAGAGCAGACTACAGGTAATGTGGATACTGCAGATATTGTAGATACTGCAGATATTGTGGACACTTCAGATATGGAGGATACTGCAGATACTGTGGATACTGCTGATATTAGGGATGCTGCAGATACTGTGGATACTGCCGATATTGAGGATACTGCAGATATTGAGGACACTGCAGATACTGTGGAGACTAGAGATCCAGAGCAGATTGATAGAGAGCTAGGATGGATCACAAAGATCACCAGCTATATGAACCACAGGAGAACTGCAAGTATGAGATCATAGATCTACAGCAGATTGACAGAGAACTAGGATGATCATAAATCACCAGTTACAAGTATCACAGGAGAAGATCATAGGTCTGTAGCAGATTGATAGATAGCAAGGATTGATCAGGAGATCACCAGTTATATTATCTATAGAAAGATTAGCTGAGACCACATCTAGCCCAGCAGGGAACAGAGGCTCAGATGAACTACTAAGGGACTCTTCCTATATAAGAGTTAGTGGAGACTTGCTTTACCGCTGAGGGACTCTTCCTATATAGGAGTTAGTGGAGACTTGCTTTACCACTGAGGGAGTCTTCCTATATAAGAGCTAGTGGAGACTTGCTTTATCTCTGAGGGACTCTTCCTATATAAGAGCTAGTGGAGACTTGCTTTAACGCTGAGGGACTCTTCTTATATAGGAGTTAGTGGAGACTTGCTTTACCACTGAGGGAGTCTTCCTATATAAGAGCTAGTGGAGACTTGTCTTACCGCTGAGGGACTCTTACTATATAGGAGTTAGTGGAGACTTTAATTGGTTTAATTGGTTTAATTGGTGAATTTATGTTATTGTATCACTGGTGTGATAATTAAAATATCTCAATCTTTTGTCTATGTTGGCAATTCAGTAGTTTAGCCATTCATCTAGTTTATTCTTGAAACTATTCAGGTTCTTTGCATTTTTCACATCTTGTGGGATTTCGTTCCACATATTAACACATCTTGTGCTAAAAAAATTTCGATATATTTCAGTCTTTACAGCTGGAACTTTCAAGTTTAAAGGATCACTTGACTGCCTGGTTTGAATACCCCTTCCTTCTTCTGGTACATACGCAGAGCTGAACCATTTGTTTTTGTCCAGATGGTCGTGCCCATGTAGAATTTTCTAGACTTGGATCATATCTCCTCGCTTTCTTCTGTTCTCCAGGGAGATCAAACCAACCTCTTTCAGCTTCTCTTCATAGGTTGACCCAAAGAGTCCAGAGGTCATTGTTATTGGTCTTTTATGAACCTTTTCTAGAGTTTCTTTGTCTTTTACTAGCCAGGGATTCCAGGCTTGAATACAGTATTCAAGGTGGGGCCTGACATAGATTCCTATAGGAGAAAGATCTGGCCATCTGGCCTAAAATACTATTCGCCTTGGCTGCAGCAGTAGCACACTGTTTAGAGGGTTTAAGATCCTCCTGTATCATTACACCAACATCTTTCTCTTTGTCTGAAACCTCCAGATTTACACCATTCATTTGGTACCCATATCTTGGATTATTCTTTCCAATGTGTAAAACTTTACATTTTGACTCGTTGAATTCCATCTTCCAGTCCTGTGCCCATTGAGTTAAAACATTGTAGTGCTTCTCTATCCTTATCTGTATTAACTTTCCTTCCAGCCTTAGAGTCATCTGCAAACTTGGACAGAAAAGTTTGGGCATCTTTAATTACTAGGTCAAGTATGGTTATATATATAACAAAACACAACGGTCCAAGGACACTCCCTTGGGGCACTCCAGACCAAACTGGTTTCCAGGCTGATGATTTATTATTGTAATAAACTCTCTGTGATCTATCGTTTAACCAGGAGATGATCCACTGTAGGATTTTGCCTTTGATACCATGAGCTTCCAATACTTTTGCAAGATGTTTATGTGAGACCTTGTCAAATGCCTTGGCAAAGTCAAGATATATAACATCGACTGAATCCCCTTCATCTATATTGGTGAGTATTGTCTCTAGATACTCAAGTAGGTTTGTTAAGCATGATTTTTTCTTCATAAACCCATGCTGTGAACTGTGTATGAGTTTATTCGTGTCAAGGTGGTTAACTATTCGGTCCTTTAGTACTGACTCCATTACTTTGCATATCACAGATGTTAGGGAGATTGGTCTGTAGTTTCCTGCCTCAAATCTGGACCCTTTCTAGAAGACTGGGACTATATTTGCATTTTTCCAGTCTTTTGGAAGAATTCCTGTATCTAGTGATTTCTGGAATATCATTTGGAGTGGGGCAGCAACCTCATCACTTGCTATAATTAAGATCCTGGTTCTTATGTTGTCAGGCCCAGCAGAGGAAAAAGGCTTGAGCTTCTTTAATTTCTCCTTGACATCATTTACTGTGATTAAAACATCATCAATTATTTGGTCAGTGAGGTCTTCAATGTTGATATTTTCGTCAGAGTTTTCCTCCTTAGTAAACACTGAGCCAAAGTGATTACCTAGTTTATCACAGATTTCTTCACAATCTGTTACTAATTTTCCTTCATGCTTCAATGGTCCAACTGCCACTCTGTTAGATTTTTTAGAATTTATATAATTATAAAACAATTTGGGATTATTTTTTATTTCTCTGGCAAGTCTTCTTTCATAGTTCTTTTTGGTGTTTCTTATTTGGTTTTTTACTTGTCTTACCATATTTTCATACTCAGTCTTGTCCTCCATGCTGCTGTATTTATTGTATCTCTTCCAAACTCTTCTCTTTTTTCGGATGAGCTGTAGCAAATCCCTATTCATCCAAGGTGGCTGATTGTTCAATTTTTTTACCTTCTGAGAAACAAATTTGTCCATACATTCAGATAGTTTGTTTTTAAAAAGATTCCAGGCTTCTTCAATGTCCATGTTGTGTAGTTCTTCCTGCCAATTAATGTTGCATAAGAACTCTTTTAGACTAACAATGTCCGCATTTTTCCAGTCACTAAAATAGCTGGTTTTGTTCTTAGTTGGTACTTCACCTCTTATGTGAGTTAGGATCATTCTGTGGGCACTTGATCCAAGTTTTCCTAGGTTTTCACAGCTAATGACAAGTTCTCCCTGTGTTAAGACCAGATCCAAGGTTTTTCCAGAATTGTGAGTAGGAAAATCTATGCACTGCTTTAGAAATTTGTCCTCAACTAGTTCTAAAAAGTCTTTACTTATTATAGCTCATGCAGTTCTATTTTTCCAATCTATGTCCGAATAGTTAAAATCTCCTATTAGGACAGATTGTTTAGGAGAATTTTTAATTGCTTTCAAAAGATTGTAATTATTCTCAGTCACATTTTCACCTTTATAAAGGTTGTGTGGTCTATAGATCAAAAATAAATGAAAATATGAGTGAGCAGTAGATTTGAATTTAATTCCACAACACTGGTTAAAATCCTTCATCTCTTTGCTTTCAAACTCACATGCTCCAAGGCTAGTTTTTGCATAGATTAAAAGACCTCCTCCTATTCCCTTATTTGTATCCTTACGATCCTTTCTACATATTATGTCATAGTTATTAATACCCAAATATGCACCTGAGTGTTCTGCATTAGTCCAGGTTTCATTGATACAAATAACATCAGGTTGCAGATCACAGGCTAATATATTTAGTTCATTTATTTTTTTATTAAACTTTGAGCGTTGGTGTATAAAATCTTCATAGCTCTACATGATAGTGGATTGTCTTGCGTATCATTATCTAGTCCTCCTCCACCTCCTCCCTGTCCTCCAGCATCATCACGTTCTCTGAGAGACTTGAGTTTATTCTTTTCCTTGGTTCCCCCCTGCCTGGACTGGGTGGGCCCTTTCTTTTCCTGTGAGTTGATGATTGTTGGCTTTGATTGATTTTTATCTTTACTTTTATCATTCTTTTCTCTCCCTTCCTTCCAACAAGTTGATACTTGAAGTTTAAAGAGTCCTGCTCGCTAAGTTGGCTGTTCAGCTTCTCAACTTCTTTTATCATATCATCTTCATCCTTGCGCTGCTCTTTGGTAAGGTCTGGAACTATGCCAACACTTGAATATTTCTGGCTTTTCTGTAGGTTTCTGGCTTTTGAGAGAACAGAATTTCTGTGCTGGCCACTGAGAAAACCCACTAGGAGTGGTCTCCCTGAGTTTTTCTTATCTCCCAATCTAGATATGAACTTCACTTCATTAATTGTTACATTAGAGCCTATGTCCTGCAGGACTTGTTCCAGATTTAGCATATCTTTATCTTTTCGCTCATAACCTGATTTAATATTGTCTGGAGCTTCAGGAAGCTGGTGGATAACAATATTTTTCTTTCTCATCTCCTGATCCTTAAGCTCAGCTCTCATGGCTTTTCTGGTGTCTGAACATGAGCTTTTCATATCTCCTTTAAGTTTATCCACATCAAAGCGGACAGCTTTAAGATTAGTCTTGATATTCTCCCTGTCTTCATCTCCAAGATTGACTTTTTCCTCCAGTTTATTCACTTTCTTATCTATTTCAAGGCACATCTTGCTCAGCTTAAGTGAAGCTGCACCGCAAGAATTACAGGTCCAGTTGATTCCTCCTCCTGTCCTGGCCTGTTTGCACAGCTCTTGAAAAAGGACATCAGAGATGTCTGCACAAGACTTGCTTTACCGCTGAGGGACTCTTCCTATATAAGAGCTAGTGGAGACATGTCTTACCGCTGCGGGACTCTACAGATATATGGAATATGATTTAATATAAATAAATATTAACAGATATATTTGTACCAATAAAATGTGTCATGTTAAACCACCCACTTATTCAAGACCTTGAGAGATAGATATTATACACAAGATGAGAGGTTTAGGTAAATTATGAATTGGTACTGGGAATGAAAGTGAAGTCTTGTATTAACCCTCAAAGATGAAAGGCAAGGATTGGTCTTGATTTCCCTAGGATTTATGTTTGGGATTGTAACGATATCAAAGGATTAAATGTTACAATATTTCAGAAGGATGGGTCGGGAAACCGAGCTGGGTTTTCTACCTCAAAGGGAAAATATTTACAACCAGAAGTTGCCTCGGAGCCGAGATCAGGACAAGGATTCTAATATTTATCTTAAGGAGATAAAACTCAACCTATCTCAGGCTGTCGTCAACAACGATATATCACATGGTACACAGATAAATATTTTTATTTTATCAAATATATTCATTAACGTAGAAGAATTGTACGTACTTGAAAAATCCCCCCTTTACTGGATTCCCTTTTCCACAAATTCTTGGGGATGTTCACAGTTCATGGATTTTTTATCGCCGATTTAGAAAGGAGAAAACTAACGTAGCACATATCAAAAAGAAGGGAAAACTTGCTAGTTTATTTTGTTATTTAAGCTTCGTTTAAATCTTCGAAAATTAATTTCTAAAATAAATAGTTACGTTATTTTATTAGAATGGAAAATGTTTTTACCTGGAACACTTGAAAATTATTATTAATATTAATCTTCATTTAAGATATTTTTATTTATACATGAAATCTGAGCTGAAAACTTCAGAATGAGATTTCCTTAATCCCGATTACTTAATTTGAGTATCCAATGGACACACTTTTGATTTTCTCCTTAAACCGCTCTTACTTGGATAATAGATATAGTAGAGAAAAATAAAAAATGTTTTATTTTATTTATAATCTTAAATGGTGCGCAAAATTTCAAATTTATCGGCTTCATATACGCGACTCTGGTTGAATTGTATACACTTTTCAGGATACTATTACAAGATTAGGTTAGTCTTCATATTAAGGAAAAGAGAGGATCAAGCATTAATCTCGATATCAACCATTCTAAAGTTTTCAGCTCTGTATACCTTATGTTTCAAGTAATTATTAACTTAAGTCTTAAGTCTTAGCGAAACATCTTCAATATATCTGGCAGCTAAAGATTAATTTCAAAAGAAACAATTAATTTTCCATTTCTTTCTTTCAGGTGGTGTAAAGTGGGTTGTGAACCTACACAAGTATATAATCCTGTATGGATTGAAGATGAGTAAAGAGGATCATGTTTACTTGATTAAACTACTCTTCGGTCTACTCACTACTAAGCATGTAGACTCAGTATCCCTAGACAAGTTTGCTAAGGTAGAATATAGCACATCAAACTAAATTAAATTTGAAATCTGACATGATTTTAAATACAAATCCCGTTTTACAAAGAAAAAAAACACCTCGGGAAATGCAGCCACATAAGTTGTGTGTAACTGTAAATTGTGTGAGTTACTCAGTCTCGAAGTTAAAGACGTAACTTGACTGACTGACTGACTGACTGACTGACTGACTGACTGACTGACTGACTGACTGACTGACTGACTGACTGACTGACTGACTGACTTTTTTTAGGGGTAAGTTTTTATATTTGAGACTGATAGACTGACTGATTAAGAGACAGAGAGACGGATCTATTTATGTAGATTAATTGAGTTATTGAGATATATTGATTTAAAATTAATATTTATAATGATTGCTTGGAAATAGATAGTTATATTGATTGATTAAAAAATAGATATTTATTTTGATTGATTGAAAAATAGATATTTATTTTGATTGATTGAAAAATAGGTATTTATTTTGATTAATTGAAAAAAAATAGTAATATTGACTAATTGAAAAATAGATATTTATTTTGATTGCTTGAAAATAGACAGTTATATTGATTGATTGAAAAATAGATAGTTATATTGATTGATTAAAAAAATTGATATTTATTTTGATTGATTGAAAAATAGATAGTTATATTGATTGATTGAAAAATAGATATTTATTTTGATTGATTGAAAAATAGATAGTTATATTGATTGATTGAAAAATAGATAGTTATATTGATTGATTGAAAAATGGATAGTTATATTGATTGATTGAAAAATAGATATTTTTATTGATTGATTGATTTATTGATTGACACAGTTTATTATCCGAAAGGCTGAACAGTTCACTAAGTTATTAAAATGTTCAGGTTCTGTATGCGCTGATGAAGAAGAAATATCTTATAACCAGAGCAGATCTAATCCTACCCTGGGAACCTTTATTTGATCTATACAAGTAAAATATTATTTCTTCAAGAATTCACAACTCTTTTAGAATATCAAAATTGTTAAAGTTTTAAAATGCAGATTTTTTAAAGCCTGTCATGTTTTGTCTTAAAATCAATCTGACGTGTTGTATGTAGGAATGAAAAATGTCGTTTATATTAGTGAATTATTCAGTTTTTAACATCAAAAGAAACTATTAACGTTTGGCGAAAATCTTGCAAGAAAATCGTCTGATGTAAGAGTTTTTCAAATATCCATAATTTTCCTATTCCGACGGATCGAGGCTATATGAATTTTTTAAATCGATCAATTCAGGTGGTTTTCTTTAATAAAATAAAATCATCAAAAAGTATCTTTATTTGTTTTGTTGTTTCTTAGGTATTGGGAGGATTCAACATTAGTTCTGCGAGGCCTGGTTAAACCTGCATCAGGGTTCAAGGCTCAGCTGAAATCTATAATCAAGGTTAGAAGATTTTTGTGTGGATTTCTGTTTTACGGAATATATTATGAATTCTGGATCCGTCCTGTGAAGACGTGGATAAAAATGTATTGAATTTTACTCAAAAAAATGGCTAAAGTTATTACTTATTTTTTGGCATTTTTGTTTTGGCAAAACCGTTGATAGATATTTTTGGTAGAAGTTTGAAAAAAATTATTAAAAGAATATTTTCTTTTTTCATCATCATTAAATGTAATTCCATTAGATTTTTTCAAAGTTTGATTAACCTGCTATATATAGATTTTGGTATTTTAATCTTCTAATTATTATATATTTTGTAGGTATCCCGTGGATATTTTACTATCGAGTCTACTCAGGAGATGATGGATAAATGGAGGCATCTGATGTGCCCTCATGACAGGTTAGATATAGAATTAAAGGGACTGTAAATGGGATTGGCCGATTCACAACAGTACTATAAAAATCTTTATAAGAACAATAACTTGGAAGAAAACGTCGTTTTTTGGTTCTAAAAAGGGAAAATTATTTGGGTTCTTAAATTGCTTTTTGCGTTAATAGAGGCAGATTACTTTTTGCGTTAATAAAGACTAATGTGTACACATTTGACTCTGGCGTAGTAGGACTGCTAGGAACTAGTTTTGTCAAAAAAAAATAACATAATTTGTAAACAAAGCTGCTGGTTGAAACTTTCTTGGCCAGGGTAGGGGACCCAAGCTTGTGAAATATTTTTTTGTTCAGTAGTTGAAACGCGTTACTGTAAGAAGTACATTACACAAACCCTCAAGAAAATAAGTTCACACATATCTTTGTTCTAGGAGTATATGTTCTGCAGTAAAGTACTTCTCTTTGTTTCTGCCGACTAGTCGGGGTATACCCCCCGACAAGTCCTGGAAGATCTGGCTCCCGGAGCTCAACATGTTCTGGAGCACCTGGGGGAACTCACCCAACTGGGAGGTCGACATACTTAAACTCTACGCCAGGCTAGCTGTACATCAGGTAAAGACTAATTAAACTAATATTCCTGAATTTACACGTAAAACTAATTACACATGTGAGAGGAGACTGGGATAGGCCTCTCCTTAAAGAAAAATTTCAGATGCGCGGTGCTTGATGCAGAATTTATATTTTGTTTCCTAGATTGGAGAATTAGATTGGGAACCATATATGGGAGATCTATATACCAGGTTTATGGTTAGTTTCAACCTACCAGTAACATACGGAGGATCCGGTATCCGGCTTAAACACGGGATATCAGGACAACCTTGCGTAGGCAGTATTTCACAGGAATAGTTCAATATCACAAATGATATTAATTCCAGATGTTTTTATACATTTTCTCTACTTTCTTTCTTTCAATCGCAGGGGCAAAAAACAGAAAATTTGACTCTCTCTCTTAAGTATGTTACGAAAGATTTGTATTGCTGTTGTGATAAAGGATTTAACATTTTTTGGGGGATGGGGGGGGGGGGAATGAATTTTTGGGCTTAGCTCTCACACTGAAATACATTTTATCCGAATTTTCCACAAATGTTTTTTCTTATAAATATAGATTTTTCATGGATACTTAAAATCCTGGTTGTGGAGACATCTGTCATAAGTGTATTGAACTAGTGGATAGTATCTACCCTTGGTCCGGGCTCCTCAGGACAGCGGTATCTATCCCGACTACTGGTAGCTCTACAAAGCTACTTTCATCCAGCAAATATTAATAATTCTAGTGAACTTCTTCATGTTTTCATCTCCTTACTCACTACACAGTTCATCAATAGAGTACATACAGGTAGGGTTATCCAGTATATACATCAAAATATTAATTGAATGTGGAAAAATATCTTTTAAGGGTTCAAATTGTATTTTTTTCTGTTGAAATTACTGAGAAAATAGAAATTATTGCAGTTATGCTTATTTGCAGATTCAGTATTGTAGATTGAAAAGATCTCTATTTAAATGTAATTTATTGATGCATTCCATCCAAGTCGTTTTCATCTTGGAAATTAAGTTTCGATTTTTCGGTTTCTTTAATTTTTATTTTGTTTTAGAGAGATTTAACACGAAGTGGGTTTGCAAGGTTGCTCCAGAGAAGAGATTAACAGATGAAGATATCAAGGAGTTTGTTTTATCTGTGAAACCAATAGCATTTCATGTACTGTACAACAGCTACGAGGATGAAGCAAGGTATGTACTTCAAATCAATAGCATTTCATGTACTGTACAACAGCTACGAGGGTGATGCAAGGTATGTACTTCAAATCAATAGCATTTCATGTAATGTACAATAGCCATGAGGATGAAGCAAGGTATGTACTTCAAACCAATAGCATTTCATGTACTGTACAACAGCTACGAGGATGAAGCAATGTAAGAACTAAAAATATCTCTGAAAAAATCATTAATATTTAATTTACACAGTGTACACTGTGCGTTCAGTGTACACTGTACATAATAAGGAAAGGGGCTTGTAGATCCTCAGGGTTTAGCTGCTATAGCACTAATTATGTAGAATGTAATAATGTTTTTGCGAATTCTAGGAATGTATTTGCCAACCTATCTCTACTGCACCCTGAGCTAATTATCCCTGACCTACTGGATAATCTTATATTCTAGGAATGTATTTGCCAACCTATCACTACTGCACCCTGAGCTAATTATCCCTGACCTACTGGATAATCTTATATTCTAGGAATGTATTTGCCAACCTATCTCTACTGCACCCTGAGCTAATTATCCCTGACCTACTGGATAATCTTATATTCTAGGAATGTATTTGCCAACCTATCTCTACTGCACCCTGAGCTAATTATCCCTGACCTACTGGATAATCTTAAATTCTAGGAATGTATTTGCCAACCTATCTCTACTGCACCCTGAGCTAATTATCCCTGACCTACTGGATAATCTTGTATTCTAGGAATGTATTTGCCAACCTATCTCTACTGCACCCTGAGCTAATTATCCCTGACCTACTGGATAAACTAAATGTTGCTTCTGAATCCCTTACCGAACCTCACAGGTTCCACGTGTGCATCCAGGTAAACTTGATTTCTCTTGATTTATAGATTTAAAAATATTTAATTTTTGAGTTAATCTTGATTTATGACTTTTATTTAATTCAAAACTTTTCTGTCCAATTTATCAAAAGGTGATTGAGATACCTTCGTTTTCTTTGTAAAGGAATTGAGTCTTTATTACAAACTATAAATTTTCTAATTCGAATATCTTTGTAGCTCACTTTGTTAGACCGATATTTAAAACTATGAATTCTGTTAGATCAAAAAACTTCCGAATATCAAAGGTTTAGGCCATCAGATTGCAACGATATATGGATTAGAGAATTAGAGTTTGTAGCAAAGACTAGATCCTTTCTAAAATGTGGCTACCGCTTTCCTAGAAAGACTTTTTCAAATACCACAGGCTAAAACTTATAGTTGGGATAGCGCTCAGCTACATGGACTGAAATCAACATCCGCTGCGTAAACTTTGAAATTAAAAAGAATATTTGTTTAATTCTGGGTAAATGTTCTATACGAGAATTCCACCTGGAACAATTCTGGGTAAATGCTATTTACGAGAATTCCACCTGGAACAATTCTGGGTAAATGCTATTTACGAGAATTCCACCTGGAACAATTCTGGGTAAATGCTATTTACGAGACTTCCACCTGGAACAATTCTGGGTAAATGCTATTTACGAGAATTCCACCTGGAACAATTCTGGGTAAATGCTATGTACGAAAATACCACCTGGAACAATTCTAGGTAAATACTATATACGAGAATTGCACCGGGAACAATTCTGGGTAAATGCTACTTACGAGAATTCCACCTGGAACAAATCTGGGTAAATGCTATTTACTAGAATTCCACCTGGAACAATTCTAGGTAAATCTTATTTACGAGAATTCCACCTGGAACAATTCTGGGTAAATGCTATATACGAGAATGCCACCTGGAACAATTCTGGGTAAATGCTATTTACGAGAATTCCACCTGGAACAATTCTGGGTAAATGCTATATACGAGAATGCCACCTGGAACAATTCTGGGTAAATGTTATATACGAGAATTCCACCTGGAACAATTCTGGGTAAATGCTATATACGAGAATTCCACCTGGAACAATTCTAGGTAAATGCTATTTACGAGAGTTCCACTTGGAACAATTCTGGGTAAATGCTATTTACGAGAATTCCACCTGTAAATAATCACGAAATGATTCAAGGAAAAATATGACTGTGTCCGACGAATTTATCATTATCCGTTAGAGGGGAAGGAACCGACTGAGCCCGTTATAAGAAGATTTAAAAAGTAAAAGTTTTGACCTCTGTATAATTCCAGGCTCTGTCTGCAGCTGCCGGTCCACTGATCCGAACCTACCCTGAGCGTGCCTTGGATCTATTAAACCTCCTCCTTCCTGGGATAGATGTTAATGATATCTGGAAGTGTACAGATATATTTGTTCTAATGTCGGATCTATTGGAGATGATGCCAATATGTGATCTCACCAAGTCAATGGATTCAAAAGGTTAGTCCCGTGTTTAAACAGATTGACGATCAATGATTTGTTCCAATATTGTTAAGAGTATTTAATGTACTGCCAACAATAGACAAATTATTCCGCCTAGCAGGTGTCCTTTAAAAGCCAAAAAAATAGTTTTGAAATGATTGTTAAAATTCAATTATGTTTGTCTTAATCCAAATACAATTACATCAAAAAAATATTAAGTTAACAATTAACTATTTTTATTAGTTTTTGGATATTGTATTTATTAAAAAAGGTTTTCCTTTTTCTGAAAATGTGGATGGTGTTGATAGGTTTTCACAGAGCGATTTAAAACTGAGTTTCAGAACTTTTGTAGTTTCTATGGTGGATATGGTTAGATACAATCATATACCCGGTAAACTCAAATAGATTATCAAGTACAATAGGTGGCAACAGAGAAATGGATTAACTATACACGACGTCACAAGTGTCAAATATAACAAGGAAAACGAAATTTTTTAGGACATTATTTGACATGTTTTTCAAGTTTAATTAAAAAGAAACAGAAACAGAAAATAAATAAGACATAAAATTGCACCTTTTTTCACTTGAAGATAAGCTCTTTACTTTAAAATTATCACTATTATTAATAATTTTGTCGGACACAAAAAACTAAGTTGACACTTGTGATGTAAGAATACAGCTGTACTGAGAGTTTACAAATACTACGTTGCCATCTAATGTAATTAACAATCTATTTGGATAAATCGACTTGAACCAATCTTGAAAATGTGCCCAAGACACAGTCCCAGTTGTTATGAATGTGTCAAAAGGTTTATATTTGTACTTTCATTAAACATTGAAATAAAAAAATGTAATAGGTTTCCCCTGAGCTCTTGTGATAAAAGCAATAATGATTTTTTTAATCCGAAAACATAAATGGGAGGCTGATACACTGAATACACTGAATACACTGAATACACTGAATACACTGAATACACTGAATACACTGAATACACTGAATACACTGAATACACTGAATACACTGAATACACTGAATACACTGAATACACTGAATACACTGAATATACTGAATATACTGAATATGCTGAATACACTGAATACACTGAATATACTGAATATACTGAATACACTGAATACACTAAATACACTGAATACACTGAATACACTGAATACACTGAATATACAGAATATACTGAATATACAGAATATACTGAATATACTAAATATACAGAATATACTGAATATACTGAATATACTAAATATACTAAATATACTGAATATACTGAATATGCTGAATATACTGAATAACCAAAAACTAAGAGTAAACAATTGGATAATATTGAAATTAATCTTCTCTTTTATTGCCATCTTCTTTTATTTTAGATCCAAGTGAGGAGGAGATAAGCTTGAGGTCTAAAACTGCAAACTTTGAGAACTTTGTTCTTGCTTTCATGGATAGATGTTTTACACTCATAGAGAACACAAGGAAATACACTCAAAACATAAGACTAAAACAAATCAAAACTTCAAAAAAATCATCATTAGTGCTCAAAAACCTTCTTTTTTTCACAGAAAAAAAAGGAACTGAAACCTTCCCTTAGATATGGGGACTAAATCAAATGTGGAGTTATTGCCGTCTTTTTTATTATAAAATGTTGCGAGAGAATTAGTCGTTACTTTATTTCCCGAAAACAAATACAAATTAAAAAATCTTTAGCTTTAGCTTTAATCATTAGCTAAATCATATTATATCATAACTGTAAACCATGAACTTAAAACTTTAAGCCTTCCATTGGACATTTTCATCCAACTACCGAGTCTCAAAGCATACTGCCCGACTGCCTACTTTATTTAATTTGTTTTAAGTTTTTCTTCATTGCAAAGCAGGTTTGGTGAGATTTTGCAAATCTCTGCATATTTGTAATAGTACGGTCAGAGCTTTTCAAAAATGGAAAGGTTTGTCATGTCTTCACTATTTCAATTAATTGTTTTTTTTTTTCACTTTATAAAGTTTTAAAGTACCTCAGCCTGAGTCAGCAGTCACCATATCTCGCATAGCTCGAGATGCGGCCTTCGTTAAAGAATACATCAAGATTATTTCATCGAGTTTAAAGGGACCGTTCACTTATTTGGGTAATTTCAGGGTAAACTACAGAGCCTATTCGCTGTTGATTGGTAATAGTCTTACTTTTCACAGACAACAGTGACCGGAGAAAAAGCCGATTTTTCGTTCAGAATTTGAGCGGAAAGATACGGTCCCTCTCTATAGACACTATTTGATGTTTTTTTCAGTAACTGCAGCCCAATAAATTTTAAATTCATCATATTTTCATGTCATCACGTGTTCGTTAATATGTACTAAAATATGAAAACTTTTGATATTTGAGTTAGCAAGAAATTTACGTTTTTCGTACTAAAACATGTAAAACGTGTATACAAAGACGACGTCTCTACGACAATCAATTAATCAATACTCGTATTTTGGTTCGTAGATTTTGTCACCGCATGTGCACAACTTTTCATTTGTCATGCCGCGTTCAATTCAGCTTTTTACACAGGCAATACACAATTTTGAATGCGATAAAATAGTGTTATTTTAGAAATAGAAAGTTAAAAAACAACAAAATTAAAAAAATAATGACATTTACAATTAACGATTAGATACTACAGTTTAATTTTATATTCGAAATTTATTTTGATCCACAGCATATTGATAAAAACATCAATACAGTGTCTATAGAGAGGGACCGTTTCTTTCCGCTCAAATTCTGAACGAAAAATCGGCTTTTTCTCCGGCCACAGTTGTCTTTGAAAAGTAAGACTATTATCAATCAACTGCGAATAGGCTGTTTAGTTAACCCTGAAATCACCCAAATAAGTGAACGGTCCCTTTAAGAATTCCATTATTACATTTTTATCCTAATAATGAGATTATCATATTCTTCTGTCATTCCACAGTTGTCTTGTTACCACAGTATGGCAACCTCCTCTCTTTTTTTTTATTTGAAACTATTATAAAACCTATTGGTAAGTATTTGATTGTGTAGAAGAGAGAATATCCGTGTTGATGCTGGAACTAATGATGATTATCTAAATGACGAAGAACTAGCAGCAGATGCTGCCATTAATGACACATTTCTAAGGTAAAAACATTGGCAGATCTGCTGAATAATAATACACACAATCCAGAGGTCAACACTTTTGTATATATATAATCTTCAACGCCTGAACTCTTTATCTACAGCGGAAACTTTTAATTTGTTGAATATTTGAGAGTTTTAACTTTAATCTTCAGCTTACTATTTGGATGCGATCTCAATCCGATTTATCGATTGAAATATAAGGATAAAATGGATTAAAATAATCCCATCGGACTGCCAAAGTTACGGATTAGTACTCCTGGAGGGATTAACATGAGCAATATAAAAGGACCGAACTTAAAAAAAATTCATCAAGGTTCAAACGATACATGCAGTTACTTTAACTTTGTTTATTGTTTAGAATTGTTGGCAACAGTTCAGCCGCCATGTTCTCCAGAATATTCCTTAAACTTCAAAACTATCTTCAAGGGAAGATTGTTGAACCAACTGTAGCTGGTGGAATACTGGCCAGCATGTGCAAGGGATTCTTACAATATAGATTAGAAACTTCTAAATCATTAAATCTTGTTTTGACTTTTCTATCTGATCTCATTTCCAACCAAAACCCTGAATCAACTATTCATTTTAACATTGAGGAAAAAGATTTTTCGAATTAGCATTGTTTAGTTTTTACTTATTTTCCTCTTAGATCTGAATTCTAAGGCCTAAGCCATAAAACATGCAAAAATGTCAAGTTTGTCAACTGATTATGAAACTAACTTCTTGATAATTTGGACTAAATACTTTAAAGAAAGATAATAAAGGTGATACAGAGAAGTTTTATTTTAAGGGTGAACAGTAACACTGAACATGATCTGACCTACTCCTCAAAACCTGACAATATTGGCCCCAATTCAGGGTTTATGTACGTTCTAGTGTTCCCCTTTCATCAAATTCCCTGGTTGTTATTATTATTATTAAGTATTGTACTATTGTATTATTGATTAGAGTATTGTTCAAACCAACCCAGCACAAGGATTAGCATTCTTTGTTCCTTATCTCTGCGACTGTCTCGTCAAGTAAGTAGAAAAAATATTTTAAAATAACAGCAGCAAGCTTTTAACAATTTTAACTTGATGTTTTAGTTGTAATTTGTTAGCCCTTCAAAAACATGTGAATTTTTTCTTGGATAAAGGAAAAAGACCATTTTTGTAATTTAAAGAATTTGTAACCTTATCCCTTTATTAAATATATGTTGAAGCAAATTGAACAATAACTTCAGAAGATAGAGGACACGAAATAATTAAAAGATTTAAAGGGACAGTAAAGGGAAAATAAAAGGGGTATACGCTGAAAGCTAATCACTTTAGCTCTTGGTCGCGACCCATGAAAGTTATATCTGATGTTCCCGTCTCGAGAAACTGATATAAAACTGTGTTAAAATTATACGAAAATTCATATATGTAAAATTTTGAAAATCTGAAACTTAAATCACGTGACCAGAACTATCACCAATGGCAGAGCAGTATACTGGTCACTTGTCTCCGCCTGTATCACGTGACCACTTTACTGCACTGCCATTGGTGGAATTTCTGGTCAAATAATACGGACGTAAAAATAATATTATGAATGAAATCTATTGAAAATAGAAATAACAAATATAAAAGTAAACCTAATTTACAATTAGCTTTCTCTGGGATATCATCGTTTTCAGATTGGTTGCTTATTTGCTGAATATGATCTGTTTAAACCTACTACTTTTATACAAAATTGTATATATATTAATTTTCGTATATATTTGACACAGTTTTATATCAATATCTCGAGACATGAACATCAGATATGACTTTCATGGGTCGCGATCAAGAGCTAAAGTGATTAGCTTTCAGCATATACCCCCTTTCATTTTTCCTTTACTGTCCCTTTAAGCCCTAAAGAAAAAGGTCTCGAAATCATTGATTGTGTCCTAAAAATTCCCCTTCAACAATTGATAATTTGTCTGTAAAGGTTGGTTGGAGAGAGGGAGGGGAAGAAGAAGGAGGATCATAAAACAGATGAAGAACTACAGTTTAACCTCCAGCTACTAGCGGAGGTCATCTCGGTCAAAAATGTTCAGATTTACAGGTAATTATTATATGCTGTCTCCTAGGTTTGCTTAGCTGGTTGCTAAATTTAAAAATTAAGATGCCAGTTCATTTATAAATATGGAAAATTGGCATATTTTACCGTAACTCAGGTTTTTAATTAAAACTGTCATGATTTGTTTTTAAAATTGACGGATTTTACTATTTTATTTGGCAAATTGATAGATAATACAGGTCAGAATGGGACCTGACCTGTATTATCTCTGCGAGGAACCCTGATTTGTCTCTTGAAAGACAAAATATTTTAATGTTTGGGACAGATTTAATCAGGATTATACCTAATATTGTGCATTAAATCCAACCTTGATTACCTAGGTCCCGTGGGAGTGATATTCTACCGTATATACCACAGATCTGTTCAGTACTAGATGTCACACTAAACCTAACCCAGAAAGACGAATATGAACTCGCCCACGGAGTCATCCAGGTATAAGATAATTATATTGCATGGCTAGAATTAGTTAAAATACTTATCTCAAGTAATGCCTGGAGTGCGTTAAATAAATAGTTCAAGTAACTATACCTAGTTAAAGTAATTTTACTTTTCTTGTATAGGTTAACTAGTGGGTTGCATAGCTAGCTATTGCTAGGTAAAACTAGTGGATTGCATTGATAGCTAGTGCTAGGTTTAATTAGCTCAACAATTTGAAATCTTTGTTCTTAATTGATTTTTGCATAATTATGTAGTCAGAAGATGTATTTATTTGCTTGAAACCCAATTATCATATTTTTTTTCAGTCCCTTTTGACCTGGCTGTGTCATATTCGCCTGGTTGAACTGTCCCCGCGATTAGAGGAGTCTACGCGGGGCTGGGGGACCACTGTTCACGTAGATACTATAAACATTGACTGGTTTGTACCTGGTGTTCAGGAGCTGGAGATAGTTAAAGGGTTGCTAACTAGATATTTGACCCCGCTTGTAGAATCCCTGGACAGGTTTATTTACATTCTTTTCTTTCTTTATTTCAATTTTTCTGAATAACCCCGTTGCTTCTTGGTGATTTGGAAGAAAAAAATAAAAATTGAACTGCAGTCTGCAGCTAGCGATTTATTCTTCTTTTTTTACTCCATAGTTGATTTGTTCACCAAATTCAGCAATAAAACTCGTAAAAGGTTGTTTCTATCATGTGTAAACAAAAATGCTGACAAAGATTCTTTGGCATATATGTATATTAACCGATCGGCGATCATGCTTTCAAAAAGTAGTTATCATTAAACTAAACACTTTTGAATGAATTGATTTGTTTTTCCGTCAATTCAATTATTAACATTTGATCTGATTTTATAAAGGTATGCTAATGGAACTGAAAGTATTGAGAAGGATGTATTGCAGCGTACTCTAAAGTTAGTGTGGAGGATTGTGAGTGGAGTGAGTGAACTAACTCCACCTGAACAGATCACTAAGTGGGAAAGTGTTCTCTCTACAGGGTTGGAGTGGTTGGATAAACTTACAATCTGTATTCCTGGACCACAAGGAGATATTCCTCTTAGACAGGTAGTTATTCCTCTTAGGCAGGGAGATATTCCTCTTAGACAGGTTGATATTTCTCTTAGACAAGGAGATATTCCTTTTAGAGAGGTAGATATTCATCTTAGACAAGGTAGATGTTCCTCTTAGACAGGTAGATACTCCTCTTAGACATGGAGATATTCCTTTTAGAGAGGTAGATATTCCTCTTAGACAAGGTAGATATTCCTCTTAGACAGAGAGACATTCCTCTTAGGCAGGGAGATATTCCTTTTGGAGAGGTAGATATTCCTCTTAGACAGGTAGATATTTCTCTTAAACAGGTAGATATTCCTCATAGACAGGTAGATATTCCTCATAGACAGGTAGATATTCCTCTTTGACAGGTAGATATTCCTCTTTGACAGGAAGGATATTCCTTTAAGACAGAGAGATCTTCCTCTTAGAAAGGGATATATTCTTCTTAGACAGGGTGATATTCCTCTGAGACGGGGAGAGATTTCTCTTAGACAGTGAGATATTCCTCTTAGACAGTGAGATATTTCTCTTAGACAGGGAGATATTCCTTTTAAACAGGGAGATATATGTTACTTAGACAGGGAGATATTCCTCCCAGGCATGGTAGATATTCCTCTTAGACAAGGAGATTTTCCTCTTAGACAGGTAGGATATTCCTTTTAGACAGGGAGATATTCCTCTTATACATGGAGATATTCCTCTTAGACAGGGAGATATTCCTCATAGACAAGGTAGATATTACTATTAGAAAAGGAGATATTCATCTTAGACAGGATATTCCTTTTGGTCTGGAAAATATTCCTCTTGGACAGGGAGATATTTCTCTTAGACAGGGAGATATTCTTCTTAGACAAGGAGATATTCTTTTTAGACAAGGCGATATTCTTCTTAGATTGGGAGATATTTATTTCAGACATTAAGGAATTTCACTCAGAAAGAGGAGAAATTTAACCCTGACAAGATGATACTCTTTGGCAGCACATGTATATTTTTCCTCCTTTTTTAAGATTTAATGACATATCATTATCCGCAATATTAACGATAAAAGCAACCCTGGTTTTATATTCAGGGATTGAGTGAGCTGATGTCCCGGGTTCAGGCGAGGATCTGTGAGGTTGGGAATGATGATACAGACTCCTTGTGTGCCTTGATATATGTCTATGATATCCTTCTCTTCTGCTTTGGGCTGGATGAGGATGAAATAGGGTGAGTTACATTTTATTTAAAGCATTAATCTAGAGTGGGCTGGAAGGTGGGCAATCAGGGACCGAATTTAATGAATGTGAGCTAGGTCGTTCAACTGCACCTGGAGGATTCAAAATGGGAATCATAAAAAAGATCATGAGGATCAAATATTGATTTTATCTTGGGATCATCTGGAAATTCATAAACATTAAGTTGTGTTATTTAAGTCAGTGTTTCGGATCCATATCATTTTGATTCGGATCCGCATCCGTGATGATGGATCCGGATCCTGATACGGATCCGGATCCGAGGGAACTTTTGATTCTGTGAATCGGATTTTCCCTATTAAATGTTATGCAAGGTTATAATTTATAAAATGTCGTCATTAATTTACTATTATATAAATGTAAACATTAAATTATTAAAGATAATTTTGAAAAATTTTCGTCATGTAAAATGTAAATAATACATAAAATGTAAATAATACATTTACGAACCATTTTGATTTATTTATTCCATGGTTTCGGTTAATTTGTGGCGCTAACCGGATCCATATCAACGTTTCCTGATACGGATCCGGATCCGACCGGATCCGGATCCGAAACACTGATTTAAGTATCATCTGGGTTATCATAAATAGGACCGTGAGGCTCAATAATTAATAATAATATTGTCTAGGGATCATCTTGAGGATCATAAGCTAGATAAGCGGCACCGTGAGGATAAATCAATAATAATATTATCTAGGGATCATCTTGAGGATCATAAGCTAGATAAACAGCACCGTGAGGATAAATCAATAATGATATTATCTAGGGATCATCTTGAGGATCATAAGAGGGATAAACAGCACCGTGAGGACCGTCTACACCGGGGGAAGAAACATCTGCACAGTGTGATACTTGAGAGGATCAGTATACAGTGGGAAACGCAACTCTGGCTCAGATATTTATTAGGTTTTTTCTATACTAATAGCACAGAATACAATGCTGGGATGTATCCCACAAAGAATGCAGACGATCTGAAACTTTTTTAGTCGTTCACTGGAATATTATTTTATATGAAAGAAAAAATAAACAATTTAAGTCTAATTCTGTACAGTCGTCTCTGAAGTCTCATCCTTTGAAGGTAGACCTGTTTGTCTGACTTATGCGCGTCCCTAAAAGTGCGTTCGCCGCTATAGTACTTCCTTAGTTAGTTTCGAACTCATCATTAGTTCATATTTATTAGTACTTTGTCAAAATAGTTCGTCCTTTTTTCATAAATGCTTCGTCGTTAGAAAGTCATAGTTTTTTTTTCATAAATAATGGTTGACAAGCAAATGGTTATTATTATTAGATTTTTTTGCAGCGTCTAGCAAAATGTTGAAAAAAAGTCATTCTGTAATTAACGAATTAAAAAACAGATCTTTTAGGAGGTCGATTTTTTCAATTTTTCCCCAAACATGTTCATATGGGTGTAAAAAGATGGGTCTAGAGCCACTGAATACCGTCCATCTGGCCGTTTTTCGATATTTCAATAACTGTTTGATCTAGTTTCTTAATACTGTGACATATATCTTTCCAAAAATCTGTTTTTTCTGCTCATGATTAGATTAATTTTCTAAGGATTTTTATAACTTCAACGTTTTTGAACTCCAGTGTTCAAGACGAATCCCGAATATTTTGATTAACCACCTATATTTATTTTGACGACTTTTTTTTCTTCCTTCACTTGTGTTTTGAATTTTGATCTACACACCAAAGCAAAATCTGAATGAGTTTGAAAATTATGAAAAAATAATCTTTTTTGTTTCAATAGCTTCACCCTTAATTTAAGTATAAAATAACATTGTATAAGCGGAAATTGTTATTTTAGTTTTGGAATCCCTGTCTGAGCGGACCCTGGAGAATATCTTCATGTTATGTGTTCATCAGTATAGTGAAGTCAGGATTATAGCTCAGGAGATATTCCATAAAGTAATAGGTCAGATATTTATATACTTACACACATAATATATAGTTGATTAATTAGGTTATTTGTATCAGGGGGAAAAGGAAGGACCACATCCCCCCGGTCTCTAGTTTTTTTGTCTCAAGGTTCTACGTAAGAAAAAACTTAACTTGACACCTTTCAAACTTTGCTGGGGGACTTATTTTTCTAGTACAAGGGATAAGGAGATTGACTAGTTGGCTGTTTTTTCTTTTGTTTTAAATCATTAATGAATGATGTGTTTGCTAAGCGTGTTAAAGGGATAGAATGGCTAGTTTTAGTAGTTGAACTGAGAGTGCAGTATTGTAGAGAACAATTTTAGGATTCATCGATAAATTAGTTTAAAGAAAAAAATTTTGTTACGTTCTTTTTTCCGGGTTATTTAATAATTGTAAAAAAAAAAACTAAGAACCCTTCTCAATTATCCTGGCTGGCGAAATTTGACAAACGAGTTTTTGCTCTTGCTCAGTAATTATACACAGTAAACACGTCTTTTTGGTATCAAATGATTCCTAAAAATGTTCTCAAAAATACTGCATTTTCAGTTCCAACTTTAAACTATTATTAATCATGTAGAAATTTATCACAGATAGCTTGCAAACAAATAGATGTCTTGGGAAATGTAAACCCCGTGGATACGTTGTTTCGACGGTTAGGAGCGCCGACCCCTATTTCATTGAATGATGGGTTGTCCTTTAATAATAATAATAATAATATCTATATATTTCAGTTTTTAACTTCACATTTTATTCTCTTTTCAGAGAATTATACTAAACTTAATGTTTCACGCCATCATGACGATCCTCAGTAGTTGCAATTCTTTGAACAACTCTATATATATCTATATATATATATATATCTAGATCTAGATGGTATTGTAACCTTTGGTCGAGATAAAGCAAGAATATGAATATGAAGATGGTTAAATAAATTGAAAATTTGACAAAAGAGTTTTTGTTTTTCGGATCTGATACTGTTAGATTTAGAAGAATCATAAATAGTATTGTAGTTTTCCAAATCTAGATGGTATTGTGAATATCTACATCTAGCTGGTATTGTGGATATCTATATTTTGGTAGTATTGTGGATATCTATATCTAGATGGTATTGTGAATATCTACATCTAGCTGGTATTGTGGATATCTATATTTTGGTAGTATTGTGGATATCTATATCTAGATGGTATTGTAGATATCTATCTAGATGGTATTGTGAATATATACATCTAGCTGGTATTGTGGATATCTTTATTTTGGTAGTATTGTGGATATCTATCTAGATGGTATTGTGGATTTAGGGGCCTATATTTCCGGGACATCGCACGTAAGGGGTCACTTTTGGAGGGCCACACACACACAGGGGTTCTCTTCCAGAAACCACGCACATTAGGGGTTACTTCCAGGGACCGCACATTTTAGGGGTTCACATTCTTTCATTGAGTTTGAACCCACGACTTACATTTCAGACACCAATTCACTTTCTGGCCAGTGGAAACTTTGCTTAACTTCAGAGATCTAACGAGAACTGGTTACACACTCTTACCACCCCACCCCATACTAACCACCCCACACTAACCAAAAATAAAATTACTAGCTGGAAGATCTAATTAACTAAATAAGAATATAAATACAAGGTGGAAGATCTAATTAACTAAATAAGAATATAATTACTAGCTGGAGGATCTAATTAACTAATTAAGAATATTATTTCTAACTGGAGGATCTAATTAACTAAATAAGAAAATAATTACTAGCTGGAGGATCTGATTAACTAATTAAGAATATTATTACTAGCTGGAGGATCTAATTACCTAAATAAGAATATAATTTCTAGCTGGAGGATCTAATTAACTAATTAAGAATATTATTACTAGCTGGGGGATCTAATTAACTAATAAGGAATATTATTACTAGCTGGAGGATCTAATTACCTAAATAAGAATATAATTACTAGCTGGAGGATCTAATTAACTAATTAAGAATATTATTACTTGCTGGAGGATCTAATAAACTAAATAAGAATACAATTACTAGCTGGAGGATCTAATTAACTAATTAAGAATATTATTACTAGCTGGAGGATCTAATTAACTAAATAAGAATATAATTACTAGATGGGGGATCTAATTAACTAATAAGGAATATTATTACTAGCTGGAGGATCTAATTAACTAAATAAGAATGTAATTACTAGCTGGAGGATCTAATTAATTAATTAAGAATATTATTACTAGCTGGAGGATCTAATAAACTAAATAAGAATATAATTAATAACCGGAGGATTTAATTAACTAATTTAGAATATTATTACTAGCTGGAGATTCTAATTAACTAATTAAAAATATAATAACGAGCTGGAGGATCTAATTAACTAATTGAGGTTGTTTATTAGGTTGTTAATTAATTTCTGCAACTCTTCTTGCAAGGATTAAGTCGTGAACTAATCTCTTACAGCCTTTTAGGTCGTAAACTAATCTCTGTCCCTCTTCTTGTAAGGATTAAGTCGGGAACTAATATCTTACAGCCTTTTAGGTCGTAAACTAATTTCTGTTCCTCCTCCTGTAAGGATTATGTCGTAAACCAATCTCTTCTACCTTTTAGGTCGTAAACTAATCTCTGTCCCTCTTGTAAGGATTAGGTCGTAAACCAATCTCTTCTACCTTTTAGGTCGTAAACCCATCTCTTACATCCTTTTAGGTTGTAAACTAATCCTGAGGATGTAAGAGATGAGTTTACGACCGAATTATTTGATATAACTTCTTACTATTGTTGTTCAGGAGAAATCTTAGACCAAAAGGTTGACTGTAGATAGCATCATAGGTAGGGGGGTCACTCCGGCTCTTACTACCTCTACTCGCACATAACACTTTTCATTGCACATGACATGCTAAGTTACCAAAACAAAACTTGCCAAGACATAAGATGAATTGGTGGGACGAGTAGATACCTGGGAAGCATTCGTGTTACCAGGCAGTCATAATAAATAAAAAATATATATATATTGTAGGTAGAATAGGAAGACCTATACACAAGTTGGTTCTGCCTAAGCTCCTAAGATGCCTGGAGAACAACCCAGCTGTTACCGAGGATATGTTAAAGGGTGCCCTCTACCTACTCAACAACGAGAAGTTTTTGTTCTTCTATTCTTGGTAAAAATTTGGATTTCTCGGCTAGTCGGGGGAGGGGGGGGGGGGTAAGCATTCAATAAACTGATGTAGCAGTGTAGCAGTGTCACTTTAGTTTTGGGAAATGGAAGTAGGACTCTAATTTTATTTTATTACCTCTCTCTCAACTAAACTCAGTTACTCAATTGCAGTTTAATTTTAAAGAATCGTTTTCAAAAAATGTGTAAATAATTATATTTCCCTGGAGAAATTATTCCTCCATTCTTTACAGAATATTAAACGCATTATCATTTAATCAAGGAATATCTTCAAGGTTTGCAAAATATAATTATTCCAAATCTTTTTAGAATTTTCAATTTTATATCATAATTCTTAAGCTTGATAGCATTTATATGTTTAAAGGGAGAGTGCTGCAAAACTGTGGCCTGCTCTGATAACAGCTGTTCATAGTGATAAACAGAGTGTAGATGATCTATTGAGAGATATAGGGATCAAGCTTAACAGATATTATCAGGTAGAAAATATTTAGTATATAGATATGAATCCCTGGGATATAGGGATTAATCTCAACAGATATTATCAGGTAGCAAATATATAGTATATAGATATGAATCCCTGGGATATAGGGATTAAGCTGAACAGNACTGGGATAGTCTATCCACGCAGGAAAAGTGTTCAATTTTACAGAAAGCTTTGTTGAATGCATCTAAAAAAGCATGTAGCCAGAGTACACTAAGGAAACCAGGCGGCCGAACTAACAAATCTGTGAGAACTCTGTTAGATAAATGCAAACAGGTTGAAGCGGGGGTGAAGAGACTCAACAAGGAAAGATTGTCCGGAATGTTTATTGGTCCATACGAAGACAAAAAGTTTGAAAAACTTGATAAAATGAAAGTACAAGCCAAATCATTAAGAGTAGCGCTTTCTTGTATGCTAGCTAAACAGCGTAAACGAAGAAGATTAAGGTTGGCCTTTCACCATAGACTAACAGCTAAACAATTCTGGAGCTTGGTTAGACGAGTGGAAAGAAAGGCGGGTTCTCTCACTGCAGTAGCTGACGCAGAAGGACGGTTAGCTACTGATAAGGCTAGGATCGAAAGGATAGTACTTGAGGAATTGGAAAAAATATTCTCAGGTAAACGGTCACATATCTTCTCCCATAGGGGTGAGCAGTTGATTAAAGAACTGACCACCAAGGACAAAATGGGATGGAAAAAATGGATAAAAGAATCTACCAATCCCAATCAGCATGAAACTAAGGTGTGTTCAAAGGTCTCTGAACAGGAGATTGCAGGAATCATAAATAAACTGAAACTCCAGAGAGCCCCGGGAGTCGATGGAATAACCGTCTCAATGCTGAGATATGCTGGTCCTCTACTTGTAGCCCTAATGACAGACCTAGTCAATCAAATATTGAGAGAAGGGCAAGTCCCAGAGGCACTTTCAGTGGGTAAGATGACTCTGATAGACAAAAAACAGCCTTTGCTTCTTGTGACACAAAAGCGCCCACTCACTGTTTCGTGTGTGATGCTTAGTGTTATCACAAAGGTTCTGCATGGGAGAATGGATAAGATATGCGAGTCAAACGGATATTATGGTAATATCCAGTATGGCTTTAGATCGGGCCGTTCCACTTCGGATTGTGTATTCATGCTGTTAGCTGCGATACGTAAGGCTAAGAGCAAAGGCCACACAATTTCAATCGCATTTTGCGATATCGCAAAGGCGTACGATTCAGTGAATAGAGAGCTCCTCTACGCCAAATTAGATTCTTTGGGGTTTGGAGGCAAGGTGAAGGCCCTCATCCAATCAATGTATTACAATGACTGTGTGAGGGTGCGTATTGCAGGGTGCCTTTCTGCTCCTCTTTGGTTTACGAGAGGTGTTAAACAAGGGTGTGTACTTTCACCATTGCTGTTCGCTTTGTATGTGTCTGGACTAGGAACAGTATTACATTCCATGAAGGAAGGAGTCAATTTTGATGGAGTAATACTCTCAGCTCTTTTCTTTGCAGATGATCTAGTGTTGATCTCCAGGACTAAATGCAGAGGCATGGAAAGCATGTTAAGGTCAGTGAATAGGTTTTGCCTAGGAATGGACATGAAACTGGCTGTTGAGAAAACAGTTATGTTAACATCAGGACCATCAGGTACTTCCTGGAAAGTGACAGATGACAATCCATGCGTTGAGGCCATACTGGTTGGTAAATATCTAGGTATTGAAATCCAAGTCAAAGGAAGAAACCTCATCAAAGGCCGAGAGGGTAAGATGGTAGCAATAGCTCAAAAAATATGCAAACGCAGTGATAGGGCTATCCAGGAATGGTTTAGACAGAGCAGTAGCGGCTCACGCTCTGTGGGAAAGATGCGCCATTCCAGCAATACTATACTGTTCAGAGTCAATGGTACTCTCGAAGGGAGTATTAGAGAACCAAGACAGAATACAACACATGATTTCTAGGTTCATTCTGCAACTTCCAAAATCCTCGGCTAGAATTGCAGGGGCTCTTGATGCTGGGCTAATGCCAATGAAAGACAGGGTTATGTCTCTCACAGAAACGAGAGTTATCTTCCTTGGCCTGTATGCCACAACCACGCCAGTGGTTCAAACTCCAGGGTCATGTAGATGACAGTGTAGAGATGCGCACTTTCAATAGGGTCCGAGTAGGTGATGTTGGTTTGGGTAACAGAAGACCAAACCCAATGGGAAAACTATTCTCGCATTGCCCTTATTGTCTTAATAAAGGAGTGTTGTGCAAACTAACCGAACACCATGTCATAATCGAATGCTTGAGTGTTAGTTATGAGCGCAACCAATTTAATATCCCGGAATGTCTAGTTAACTCATTAGGGTCTAAAACCACACTAAGGAAGTATCTAGGGGAGGATAATGCGGGAGTACCAGAGCTGCGTATATGAGCTAGTCACATCCACAACATCATTGAGCGTTGGCAGAATATCAAGACACCCTTTTAACTTCCAGGTAGCTACTGCTTCTCGCCTCACTTTTGATTGCAGGGTACACTTTCGCCATCAGGATGAATGGCTAGACAGCGTCTGGTTTGTACCTGCCTTAATTAAATTTCCTTGGAGTAGGGGGAATGAGATTAGGGTGCCAGATTGAATCGGTCGGGGATTCAGCACCTGACTGAGTCCCCTTCTCGGAGTCGGTCTGGGGGTCCCATGTTGGGGGTCTTCCACGATCTATCTTTCATTTTCATGTTCAATAGGGAGGTGTGAGATAGAGTAGGAAATCCATTAATATCTGATTTTATTTGCTCTTACGTCTGATTCAAGGAATATTTAATTGCATGTATGTATTTGTATAAACTACATTGTCCACCTGAAACTAAGCTATCAGTGCTTACTGCAGTGGATCTGCAGTACACTAACCGAAGAAAAAGTGGGCTTTGTCGGAGAATTTATCTAAATATATACACGTCTCTTAATGCGTTGTAGGAGTTTACTCTGTACACTCTACCCCTGTCTAACACTGAGCCCTCTGCTATACTGATGGAGACGGTTCGTGAGTATCCGGGCATACAGAAAACAAGCAGTTTATCAAACCTATCCTTGGGAGACCATCTTCATTTTCAGGTAGCAAACCGTTCCTGTTTTCATAGTTTGGGGTCGATGTATATTTGAGCATAATATGATACAGGGTTATCCACAAAGAATGAGACTTAAGAGACGACTGTACAGAATATATTCTTTAGGCCTTTTCCTGTAAAGTGTAAACTATTTGGACTTTCTTTGCCAAATAATTTTGTACACATGCAAAACACGGAATTTCAAAGGAAACCCCAGGTTCAACCTTCAGAACATAGGAACTAAAAAAGTCTCATTCATTGTGAGTAACCCTGTATGGAGTAAGATAATAATGGAGGCATTGAACTAAATGTTACTGGATTTTTTCGTACCATGAATTGAATTTATATTGCAGAAGATTTTCTTATTAGGGAAACTGAACTTTTGTCCATTTTCTCCATATCTAAATCCACCAACAGAAATGGATTCGGTTCATAGGATTAGAAAATTTTTGTTTGTGGAGATTACTAAATTCTATTGAAGATGATCTGTTTTGACTCTAGGAGTTAGAATCCCGTATCCTTGAGCTGGTTACAGGGAAGAACCTGCACTGGAGGCATCATGAGATGGCTGTTGGTATGCTGCTAACTATGGTTACATACGATCATACTCCTACACGGGATACTACCAGTCTCTGGCTTAAACTACTTTTAGACGATCAGAGAAATATCAGGTTTAATTAGAGAAATTTCAGGTTTAATTAGAAAAAAATCAGGGTTAATTAGAGAAATATCAGGTTTAATTAGAGAAAAATCATGGTTGATTAGAGAATTATCAGGTTTAATTAGAGAAAAATCAGGGTCAATTAGAGAAATATCAGGTTTAATTAGAGAAAAATCAGGGGTAATTAAGAGAATTATCAGGTTTAATTAGAAAAAAATCAGGGTTAATTAGAGAAATATCAGGTTTTATTAGAGAAATATTAGGTTTAATTAGAGAAATGTCAGGGATAATTAGAGAAATATCAGGTTTAATGAGAGAAAAATCAGGGTTAATTAGAGAATTATCAGGGTAAAATAGAGAATTATCAGGTTTAATTAGAGAAAAATCAGGTTAAATTAGAGAAATATCAGGTTTAATTAGAGTAAAATCAGGCTAAATTAGAGAAACATCAGGTTTAAATTGAGAAATATCATGTTCAATTAGAGAAATATCAGGTTTTATTAGAGAAATATTAGGTTTAATTAGAGAAAAATCGGGGTTAATTAGAGAAATATCAGGTTTAATTAGAGAAAAATCAGGGTTAGTTAGAGAATTATCAGGTTCAATTAGAGAAAAATCAGGCATAATTAGAGAAATATCAGGTTTAATTAGAGAAAAATCAGGGTTAATTAGAGAAAAAGTTAATCTAATAAACTATTACTGATAAGTTAAAATGTGCACCAAGAGTCGAGAGTCAAGTCTGATTACTAATGATGTATCCCTGCTCCAGGTGTATGGCATACCAGGCTCTGGAAGGAATACTTAAACTGGAGAAGGTTACCAGCAGGAAGGTTCCACTAGAAGATATTATTTCAGTTAAACCAGGAAAATAAATATCAAATCATTTAAACATAGATCATGTTGGGATTCCAGGCAGCATGAAAATGTGTTACACACTGATGGCGGTATGCGGATTCCATGTTGATTTTCTTTTAATATCTTTCTGTTATTACTTACTTCTTACTACTGTAAAATATTGATGATATTTGTCCCCAGGAGGTCACCCAGGGTATCCTGGTGTACGTCCGGACAATGAGTTCATGCAGTACAAGAATATGGAGTTGGTAAGTTTAATATGTTTTAAACTATGTGATAGGTCGACTCTGTTAGAAGACCGCCTTGGACGGTTCTACGGCAAGAAGCTCCACACCCTGTTTTATTGAATAACTTTGTCAAATTTAAAAAAAAAGGAGTAAAAAGTTAAATTTGCAGGCACAGCTTTATTTATCCTAAAGGCTATGCACTTTTTATTTTGATTTAGGTTTATAGTGCTTATTTTTAAAATACCTATTGAGACCTATTGTGTATTAAGCAATGAGTTAACGAAATTAAGTTTTTTTTGGTAATGTTGGTACGGAGCGTTACGATTTTCTGGAGTTTATTAAGACAATTTTTGATTTAGGATGAGCTTGAACAGTACTGGAGTAAACCGTTTATCGTAAAGTCCCACCTAGGATACTGGAGCTGGCCAGCTAATGAGAGAGTTCGGATCCCGCACACTGACGAGGATTTTAATCATCCTCCGGACTCAGTTCGCAACCTCATTGCACAGTTCTTTCTGGACGAGAACCTCGTCACAAGGTTAACAAGCTTTTATTCATGAACAAATTTAGACTGAGTAAAATTAATTAAAATTTTACCAATATAAACTTTTAATTAATAGAGTCTTTGTTCAAATTGTTTGAATTTTAAGAAAAAAATAAAAATTAATGAATTAAATTTTAATATAGAAATCTGAATTTTTTTGATTTTCTTGAATTATCTGTGCATTCTAGGTTTGTAGAATTGAACTCCCTGGAGCATGAAAAGGGTTTGGATTTTTTCAGCATGGATAGGGGTCTCTTCCTTAGCTTCCTCATAGAGAATATTGGTCCTCAACTAGCTCAAGGTTAGATACTAGATAATAGAAGTATCTTCCTTAGCTTCCTCATAGAGAATATTGGTCCTCAACTAGCTCACGGTTGTATACTAGATAATAGAGGTCTCCTCCTTAGCTTCCTCATAGAGAATATTGGTCCTCAACTAGCTCAAGGTTATATACTAGATAATAGAAGTATCTTCCTTAGCTTTCTCATAGAGACTATTGGTCCTCAACTAGCTAAAGGTTAGATACTAGATAATAGAGGTCTCCTCCTTAGCTTCCTCATAGAGAATATTGGTCCTCAACTAGCTAAAGGTTAGATAATAGATAATAAATAGAACACACATCATCCAGACAGAACAAACACTAGTCCGAGAGAATATCAGAAATATATGACGACGACATTTAAACATTGATTTTCTTTATTATTCCTGCGAGGTGGGGTAAGCATTACAGTTAAACTATGCGAGGTGGGGAAACCATTTTTATTAAGAGCCACTTTTAAGAAAATAAAAATAATTGATTCAGAGAATATAAATAAATAACAAATATTTTAGAACAAAATTTAGTTATAGTTTATAAATTATAACAATTTAAATGCCCTTAGATTTTTGAACTGAAGAGTTCCTATATTATATATATTAGATAATATGAAAACAAAAAAGGCCAAATATACACATTAAGTAGTTTTTGTTGTACTGAAGATTTTTAATATCACAATTTCCTTACCAATCATAATGGAAACATTACATAAATTATAGATTTTATTGATTCTAATAAATAAAAAATAATAATTTTATCTTACTGTTTGTATCCAATAACTGTCAATACGGTTGAACCGATTGGACCCAACTTTTGTGTGGGACCTCACATGGCCCTAGGGAAGGTTTATGAATGAACAAAATTAAAAAATTTGCCTCCATCAAAATTTGATTTTCATTTAATTTTTGAAAATCCACGAAACTTTTTGTTTAAATCCGCGAACTTTTTTTGTTTTGTTTTACAATGTACACAAAGAGAACATGTTCACAATTAAAATAGAAGATGGGCGCGAAGCGCCCTAAAAGCCTATTATATATATTAGTCACAAAGAATAACAAGAAACTTATTGCATGTTAAATGTACATATAGTACAACTATACTGATGGTAAAAGTAAACAAAACAGAATTTTGTAAACATTTACGTTATAAAATGACACAAATTTGTATTGCAAGGGGTACTAATGTATCTTAATTTACAAATATGTATCCTCTTGGCTTCACTGGACTTATAGAATGTCGTCTTCTAAATATATTCGAGCCTGGTGTTTGTCCAGTCTGGATTATGTGAACATAGATCAAAAACATAACTTAGTTTATTTATGTTATTATTAATTAAATATTTGTGTTAAAATTTGTTGTTTTTTGTTTTAGTATTCCAGCCCCATATAGAACGCCTGGTCGGATCACCGGAAGAGTCTCAGCAGCGCGCTGCCGCGGAAATGGTTTATGGATTGGTACGCGGCATGCGCTTCTGGAACTTCCAGTCAGCTCAGCAGGCATGGGCTTGGTTACTTCCGGTCTTTCAACAGGTTTGTAACAACCAAGACCTAAACTATTATTGATTTTCCGTTTCATTAGACTTTGAAATAAAGGCATTAAAGCAACCCCTGCTTTTTAAGTAATTTAATTTGTAAAATAAAATATGAAATAAAAAACATTAATTACTCAGTCCTAGCTCCTCCTACTAGGAATTCCGAGTTTTAAAAAAAATCTTTGCTTTGTTTTCGATCAAGTTCTCCAGAGATGGTGATACGTCATTGGATAAAACTTGAATGCAGATTAAACTATCGTTCAATTGGACTTGTCAGCTGTTCACAAATTGGTTTTTAGTTCATTTTGGCATTGGTGCATATGAAGAAAATCCAACATTAAATGTTGAATTGAGTAAACGATGTATGGGTATCCCCCTAGCCTGTCCAAGTCTTAGCGTTCGGCCCCTAGCCTGTCATTGTCGCTTCGCTCAGTGCATAAATAGTCAAAACCTAACCTAGCCCTAAAATTATTTGAAATATATAATATTTTTTATTTCATTACATTTTGTGTTAACAAATACTTCAAAATATTGACTTTTGATGGTTCTTCCCTCCACATAGTTTTCAGTTTTATTGAAAAATATCTGTATATTTTGACTCAAGTCCTATTTAACAAACTAGTTGAAACAAGTATGTCAGTGCAATCCATCTGTAGTCTTATTATAACTCTATTATTCTAGGTATTAAACAGTGTAACCCTGGAGACCCAGTCCGACTGGGATCTTTGTTTCAGTGGATCCAGTAACAAGGCTGATCCTAACCGTCTCCGAGTCATGCTTGAGCTCCTCGTTACATCAGAGAATCTAGTCTCTCAGGGAGCATTCAAGGTCAGCTCTTAACCATACATCATCACTAAAACCTATACTGCTTAATAGGGATTGTAGAAAGTGATTTTAAGTGAACCTCACTTTAAATGCTAGATTCACTGATCACAAATGAAGGAGATATTCTTGTTTTCTATCTGATATTAATAAGGTTTTATTTAAAAGTCACTTCCGCCTTGTTAATTGGGCAAGTATCTCTTTAAAAGAATGTTCTTAGCATAAACACTTGCAGTATAAAAAGATAATGGTTGTCATCGTACCTAGTTGTGAACCTTAGTTAAAGAAACATCTGGGTTGAGATTTCTTGAACATGTGCATTGTGTATCGTGTATTGTAAACATTATATTTGTACAGTATACACTGTTCAGTGTATACTGTAAAGCCATATCAACTAATGTTAACTTTCTACCTGATTGTTTGATTTCCATGGATTAAGTTGGCTACGTACTCTGAGAACGACCCCAATAACCAATCCTAAAAGTTTCTTATGTCTTATTTCTTATCTAGGAGAGCTCCTACCTACTGTTTGTGAACAAATGTTTGAGTCAGAACTGGAGAATAAGAGAACTGTACAATAGAACCTACAACATTCTCAGGTTAATTTACTCTTTTTTTCATATTAAAGGGACAGACGTAATATTAAGTGACCCTCCATTTAAAAAGTTGCTTTCCTTTTATTAATATCGAAAAGAACCCAAAATAGATAATTGTTAGTTAAAGAAAAATATATTTATTATTTTTCCTGAGACGAAGGTTCAAAGGGTTCCGTTGTAAATCGATCATGACCCTTTATAAATAGAGAGTCGATTTTTCTAGGGATTCAACATTAAAATCCCGTCTTAATTCTAGATCTCATTGGGACCATCCTTATACTAATGTTCGACATCAGATAGCAAACACGCTGGCAACCCTGCTCTCCATGGATATACCTCTGTATGGTGTAAATGACAAGTTTAATGTCGGATCAGGGTTCCCAACTAAGAAAATGTTTTTGGATGAAGTTATTCCTATGCTGAACCTGAATTATCATAACCCGGAGTTTTCCAGGGATGAAACTCCAGTATCAGGTTAGGAACATTTATATCAGATAATAACTATGATAATACAGTATAATAATAATATATTTGGATGAACTAACCTTGGATAATACACATATCTGTGCTACATGATATGTTTCGGCATGCAGTCTGACCCAGATTGTAGTCAGTATTCACTAGTAGTAGTATTTGATATTAGTAAGTGTTATAGTGTATAACCCTGTATTTTAATATTAGTAACTGTTACTCCGTCTTACTATATAACCCTGTATTTTAATATTAGTAACTATTACTCCGTCTTGGTAAATAATCCTGTATTTTAATATTAGTAACTGTTACTCCGTCTTAGTATATAACCCTGTATTTTAATATTAGTAACTGTTACTCCGTCTTAGTATATAACCCTGTATTTTAATATTAGTAACTGTTACTCCGTCTTAGTATATAACCCTGTATATTAGTAACTGTTACTCCGTCTTAGTATATAACCCTGTATTTTAATATTAGTAACTGTTACTCCGTCTTAGTATATAACCCTGTATTTTAATATTGGGAACTGTTTCTCCGTCAAGGTATATAACCCTGTATTTTAATATCAGGAACTGTAACTCCGTCATAGTTTATAACCCTTTTTCTGTATTTGAATATTAGGAACTGTTACTCCGTCCTAGTTTGTAATTCTGTATTTTAATATTAGGAACTGTTACTCCGTCCTAGTTTGTAATTCTTTATTATAATATTAGGAACTGTTACTCCGTCCTAGTTTGTAATTCTGTATTATAATATTAGAAACTGTTACTCCGTCTTAGTTTGTAATTTTGTATTTTAATATTAGGAACTATAACTCCGTCCTAGTTTGTAATTCTGTATTATAATATTAGGAACTGTTACTCCGTCCTAGTTTGCAATTCTGTATTATAATATTAGGAACTATAACTCCGTCCTAGTTTGTAATTCTGTATTATAATATTAGGAACTGTAACTCCGTCCTAGTTTGCAATTCTGTATTTTGATATTAGGAACTGTAACTCCGTCCTAGTTTGTAATTCTGTATTATAATATTAGGAACTGTAACTCCGTCTATGAGAGACGGAACTGCTTCTCCTTCCACTGCTACAGATACTCCAAACACATCAAGCGAGGACGTTTCTATGACAATGGAGGTCGATGACGATACAAAGGTAGAATTTGTCATGTTGAGCTAAAGTCAGAGCAGAGCTCGGAACTTATGTATGACTGTGTTCGTCAATCTGATTTTTTTAATTTTTGATTTAATCTGTGCATGAAAACACAGCTGACACAAATTACTTAGATCTCTAATTGGCCAAAACCGGATTTTTGTAGCTTCTTCAAGTCAGGCCTTTAAAGGAAAATTATGAATTACGGCCTCATATGTTCTATAAAAACTATGATACATTAGTGGATTTGAGTGAACTTAATTTGAAATTTTATTTATTATTTTATACAGAAAGGGAACCGTATTCTGGAGACAGTATCCTTATGGATCTTAAACCAGATCAAGATCAGCTCCGCCACCATCACAGAGGAGATGTTCCGGGTTCTACCCTTCCTCTGTCAGTTCATCGGAACAGAGACGGATCAGGACGTTTCTCAATCCTGCTTACAGGTATACCCGTGAGTTGGAGGTTGGAGCTTAGTCCTGTTTTTTTTTAGTCTTGTTGACCGCCTAGAAATTGAGGACGAATTGAAACTCCTTCCTGCACGAGAGAGCCTCAGACAATCCCTAAGCCTTATAATTGATATAATTTGACAGCTAAAATATTTTGTTTTATGTCAATTCTGTTGCCTAGTTAATATTTTCGTTGAATAGCCTGTCTAGATTTTAATATTTAATGCAGAAATTAATGAAGTATTTCTCTTTTTACCTCATTTTTCAATTACGTTTATTATTGGTAAGTTGTTAGAACAGAGCATGTTTAAGGCTTTAGAGCGACTCAATGTATAATTAAAAGGAAGCAGTTTCCAGCGAAATGAAATCTTTTCAACTCGGAAATTGCAAATATACACTTTTCAGGCTCTGAGCTATATGTCAGCTAGTATCCTACCTGACTCTGCTATCCAACCACTGCTTGATATGACAAAGAAGATTTCCCACTCCAGTAGTTATAAAACTAAACTGTCAATGCTCGAGTATATTCAGGTAAAACATGATTTTTTTTTATAAATAAAGAAATGTATCTTATTTTTATTCTACATTGTTTCTAATTCTTTTCAGGTTGCCGTTTTTACAAACTTTCCGAAAGTTGTGGAGAACCCAGGTCATAGAGCAGAGGTTCAAAACCAGGTTCTTCATCTTCTCCAGGTACAGAGTAGAGGTTTATACCTACTCCAGGTACAGAATAGAGGTTCATACCTTCTCCAGGTACAGAGTAGGGGTTTAAACCTTCTCCAAGTACAGAGTAGAGGTTTAAACCTTATCCAGGTACAGAGCAGAAGTTTATACCTTCTCCATGTACAGAGCAGAGGTTTATACCTTTTCCAGGTACAGAACAGAGGTTTATACCTTATCCAGGTACAGAGTAGAGGTTTATACCTTATCCAGTTGTAGAGCTGAGGTTTATGCCTTATCCAGGTACAGAGCAGAGGTTTATTATACCTTCTCATAAACACTAGGATACAGAATAGAGGTTTATTATGTCGCCAGGTATACATAAACACTAAGGTACAGAGTAGTGGTTTATAACTAGGTGTTTTATCTTCTCCAGGACATAAACAACCACTTCAGGTTTATTTCTGGGTTCTACGGACATATATTTAAGCAAGCGTTCAAAACTGACATCAAGGGTTAAGTACGTAAACAATCATATATATATATTATAATTACTTCTGACACGGATAGTTTAAACGTTTGTTTACGTATCATGAATGTCGTCGTCCATTTCAGGATGAGAATCTTTCCGTGAGACAAATAGCTGGAAAAATTCTTGGAGGACTTCTTCACTCCGGGTTTATTGATCAGACAGAGGTAATATATCAATGATAATACCATAGTTTTATTCGGGTTCTATTTGGGGTTTATAATATCAATCTTCTGGGTTTACTTTACAATTAAGCAAGTTGATGAAACAGTGAACTGCTTTAAATATTTCTGTCAAGTCAGAAGACTGGGAAACTTAACAACCGGCCAACCAACTACAAATGATAAGATCCATAGCAACAGTTCTTGATAAAAAAGAAGAAAGACGACATCATACTAAAACTACGTTATTAAAGCTTGATGCGTATTAGTATATTATGCGTAGGAAGAAAGTGTTATAATCAAAATTATTGTTATAATATTAAAAGAAAAACCGTAGAATAATTATGATTATTCACCGAAAGGCGCAATAATTATTATACCTGGATTAGATTGACCGTCTGCTGGAGGATCTACGAGCTAGGATACGACCCAGGATGCAGAGGACAGGGAAAACATAAAACATAATTATCTATTATACCTGGATTAGATTGACCGTCTGCTGGAGGATCTACGAGCTAGGATACGACCCAGGATGCAGAGGACAGGGAAAACATAATAACATAATATACTAATATACCTGGATTAGATTGACCGTCTGCTGGAGGATCTACGAGCTAGGATACGACCCAGGATGCAGAGGACAGGGAAAAGGTTTAGAAAAGTGTCAACTATGGAAACTGAAGATAATTCAAAAGTAAGTTAAATATTTTTCCTAATTGAAAATTTTTGTGTAATTTTTTAACTTGATGTAAATAGATTTTGTTTTTTAATTGGACGATAATCTTCATTGATGTGTATTAACCTAAACCCTACTTTTTGATTCCCTTTGTAACTTCTGAAGAAATGTTTACCACTGTAATAGAAATAGTCTTAATCGTTACATTCTTGTTAATTCATTATATTTTTGGATATCTATTTTGTATATTGTATATTGTATATTGTATATTGTATATTGTGCATTGTATATTGTATATTGTATATTGTATATTGTATATTGTATATTGTATATTGTATATTTCATATTGCATATTGTATATTGCATATTATATATTGTATATTGTATATTGTATATTGTGCATTTTATATTGTATATTGTATATTGTATATTGTATATTGTATATTGTATATTGTATATTGTATATTGTATATTGTATATTGTATATTGTATATTGCATATTGACTATAGTCTATAGTCTATAGTCTATAGTCTATAGTCTATAGTCTATAGTCTATAGTCTATAGTCTATAGTCTATAGTCTATAGTCTATAGTCTATAGTCTATGGTCTATGGTCTATGGTCTATGGTCTATGGTCTATGGTCTATGGTCTATGGTCTATGGTCTATGGTCTATCGTCTATCGTCTATCGTCTTTAGTGTATAGTCTAAAGTCTATAGTGTATAGTCACATAGTGTATAGTGTATAGTGTATAATTAGTGTATTGTGTATTGTGTATAGTATATTGTATATTGTACAGGGTGAGCTTAATATATTTTTGTTTCTGTTTTCGCGGAAACCAAGGGAAAAAGTAAATAAGTTCAATCAACAAGGAAATTGTTTATGCCGCACAGTTCTTTGTATATAGTTATACGGGTTCGTATAGTAATGGCAGGAACACGAACTTAACCAGTAGATGGGTGGTCACAAAAAAAACCTCACAACCAATTTCCATACGCTACCATGGATTAATGGCTACTAGTTACTACAACTTCAGTCTACACTACTAATAAAATACTGTTCTTCAGGAAAAGATCATTCTCCATCATTCCGGTATACTCGGCCTTTGTTCCTTCGTAGAAGCGTTCCCCTACGAGGTTCCAAGCTTTGTTCCTCCGATCCTTATGGAACTATCCACTCATCTGAACGATTCACAGGTTACAATATACTAACACTTGTTTTGTTTTTGTATTTGAAGATTGGGATTGAGTTTAACATAGGCACTTTTTTGGTCGTTGGGAAAAACAAACTAATGCAATTTGTATAGGTGGATCTGTGTCAACCAATCATGATGTATTTTTTACTCATCTGGAAGCAATCGAAAATTTGATAAATATTGAGTTTCCAGGTGTTTCATGGCAAAGCAACTGGCTCATTTAAAACTTAATTTTTACAAAATTATTTGTATATCATAGTTTTTTTTGATATTTTATTTTTTGAATTTTGGTTTTTCTCAGATTATATATTCCATATGAAGTATGAGACACGTAAAACCTAGGATGATCATTTTAGGTACTTTTAAACTGTAGGTGTTATCAACTGTTTGAGAAGAAGTTTCTCTGCCTGAGTCTTTTGATCCTAAACTTACTAGTTTCTTAATTCAAATTAGAGCTAGGATGTATATGTATAGTATTCACCCGTCTACAAGCCGATGATGAAAATTATTTCTAGGGCTGACTATGAAAGTAGATCTAAAATCAACTACGATACGTTGTAGCATTTCCTACCGTTTATTCCATAGATATGAATATACAACATTTCAAAGGGCATTTTCACCAAATCATGTTTAAGACGACAATTTATAGGTATAAAATGGGACAAAATTATCACCAAATCATGTTTATGACGACAATTTATAGGTATAAGATGGGACAAAATGTCAAACTTGTATTTTCTAAAATGAAAAATCTTAAATCTTGATTGTTTAGCCTACACCAGCAACCATCAAGAAATGTCTTCAGGAGTTCAAGAGAACTCATCAGGATAACTGGCAGGTAAAGGGTTTCCCAACAAACATGAGAATGGATTGAACACTTTTTAATCATTCAATCAATAATCAATTACATAGAAGATCTCAAAATCTTCACTTAATGTTCATTATGACATCCTGTAGAGTGTTGATACTAGACAACTAACGATGTATTTTTTGATGTATTTAAAAGGCAGATATTTATATTGTATAAACTAGGCTTTTAAAAATATAAAATATAAAATATAAAATATAAAATAATAACAAAAAAAGTTTGCAGATATAAAAATATTTTTTCATGGATTTTCAAAATATTACAAAAATCTAAAATTTGTGGAGACAAATTTTGCTCTTTTGAAAAATTCCCTGGGGCCATGTGAAGTCCCACACGAAATTTGGGCCTGATCGGCTCAGCTGTTTTTACGTTTATCGGTTACGAACAAAGTATACTTTATACATATCAAGTTGTATGGTCTTCAAGTTTGTTTTTACTACAACATAAAAAATGTTGACTTGTTTAAAACATTCAGAGTAAACATTTTCCGCACTTTCGCAAGAGCAAGAGTCATTTTGTAGTTATAATGTTAGACTTTGTAGATTTTATTGGCTCGTCAGTTGATTCCCAAAACCCTTGAATGTTTAAGAGGATCGATTCCCAAATAACGTAAAATAAGATCATTTAATAAATTTGTAAGTTCTTGTTGTTTTAGGAGCATAAAACCAAGTTTACTGAAGATCAGCTTGTTGTGATGACAGATCTATTGGTATCCCAGAACTATTATGCTTAATAAAATAGAAGTGGTTTTCTTTTAACACCAGTCGAGCACAAAATGTTATGTATAAATCAATTTACAATCAAGTATTTTTCCTCTTTTTTTCAGAAAAAAAATATTCATTTATGATATTTTTATACGGTACAGTTTTATTGTACAAGAATATGATATTTTTTCACAGTTTTAAGTCCGAATAATTAGATGTGTTTTCCCAACGCTGCACTGTATGCTTGTAAGTCGCAAGGTTAAATTCAAATTTTGATGCTTATAATGATTATATGAAAAAAATTGTTAAATTCCAAATGACGATATTTAAATAATAATATTCTAACAACATGACATTATAATAGTTGGGTTCTTTTTATATTTATTCATTCATGTTTATGCTTACTCAAGCTTGATTTGATTTTTTTGTTTAAAATCCTAGTTTCCGGTTCATCTACTTTTATCCTTCCTTCCGTTCTTTTCATTTGTTTCCATATCCTTGTCCTTGTCTCACTCCTTCCCGTTCTGTACTTTCAACCTTCCCGTTTTTTCTCTCCCCCTCCCTTCTATAAATATATCAACTTGCACCCTTTCCAACGAAGAAGTAAATTCGAGCTAAATAACTCTTTTTTTCTCCCGTCCCGCATTTCTATCGTTTCCTTTCTACCGTATTCTACTCTCTTTCCTCCCATCCTTTACTCTGCTCACTCACGTCCCTTACTCTCCATCCACCCGTCTTTGGCTCTCCCCTCTTTTCTCCCGTCCTTGGCTCCCCTTCGGTCCTCACGTCCGACGTCTTGCACTCTTTTCCGGCAGTTTTGGCCCTGCTCCCTTACGTTATTTGCGTTTTATCTTTCCTGTCCTTTGCCCTCCCCTCTTTTTCCCTTTCTTCCTCTCCTTTTCCTCTTCTGTTTAAAATACTTTTGTTCCATACTATTTTGTTTTGTATGTAATTTAAATAATTATCCTCTCAGTGTAGAAACCAAATTAATTTCTTTTTTTTCTTCAATAAATTATTATTTTGATAAATTTATTTCTCATGTTTGTTTAGATTCTTAGTAAAGATGGTAATACAAGAAACGAAGTTAAATCCTTGTACATGGTAACTCGTGAAGGATTATGGATGAAAAAGATCTTTCAAACGTTCGTCCAAAATGCACAACAAAATACTGTTCCATAAGAAGGTTTGCAAAATTTGGCAAAGTATAAGGAACTCAAATGTTAAGAGAGAAACTTTAAAGTTAAAAAAAATGAACGGACTAAGGTCACGCCCACCACAGTTAATGTTGGATGTGAATCCAGTATTATGTTATTTTGATATTTAGGTAGAAGATTCCATTGCATAGCAGTATACAGCTAGATTTAGAGAACTTTTACAGTTTGGTAGAAAATACCCAGCTGGGATACATTATCAGAGAAATATTTCCAATAAAGAAAATATAATTTCGAGAAGTTTAGAGAAAACGTAATTTTAGGACTTCACTTCATAAACAAAACTAATATAAGAGAGAAGAACTAGAAATATTGTAATCCGAGCAGTACTAGAAACTTGTAAGATATTAATTACAGATACCTACCTATCAATAGAAGTATATGGCACACTAAAAGTGATCTTAAAGTTTGAATGTTGGTGACATTATATTAATAACCAAGTATGAATAAAAATGGTACCAGAGACGGGCAGCGTGTTTGTTAATGAAAGAAAAATGTTTAAAACTAACGATATCGTCTTTCAGAAAAATTAACGAACGATTTTGATCGTTTATAGATATTATAAAAAAAAAATTTCAACTGATACGAAGAATTATCGATTTCTTGATAGTTCGTTCACGAATGATTTAAAGATTGTTTCATATCTTTGGAAACCCAATCTGACCTAACCTAACTTTTTTTGGACTAACGTTTCGTTTAGAAATGAAAGAAAATTTGGACGATTATCAAAAAAACTAATTAAAATCTTAATGAACGGCCGAAAAAAAACTAACGAAATGGGTTTTTAACGAGTAATGAACGAACTAATTAAAAAAACGAACGCACCCATCTCTTTTGGCAGCATTGTCAGGCTGCCCTACTAAACATGAAAGTTGAGAGATGAGTCAAAGATAGTTTTGGATTTTTGACAGTATCCAAAATCATTGCTAGCTATCTAATTACAACAGTTCAACAAGTCTATGACTTTTAAGCTTTCCATAGACTACACTGAAAACTGAAGTCGTGCAAACCCTCTTATTGTTGTAAGTTTAGAGGAACACTTGATAACTTTCATGGCTCATTATAACCTTGGAGTTTACAGATAGAAAGTAGAAGAATTGGAGTTTACAGATAGAAAGTAGGAAAACTGGAGTTTACAGATAGAATGTAGAAGAATTGGAGTTTACAGATAGAAAGTAGGAAAACTGGAGTTTACAGATAGAAAGTAGGAAAACTGGAGTTTACAGATAGAAAGTAGAAGAACTGGAGTTTACAGGTAGAAAGTAGAAGAACTGGAGTTTACAGAAAGAAAGTAAAAGAACTGGAGTTTACAGATAGAAAGTAGGAGAACTGGAGTTTACAGATAGAAAATGGGAGAACTTGAGTTTACAGATAGAAAGTGTGAGAACTGGAGTTTACAGATAGAAAGTAGGAGAACTGGAGTTTACAGATAAAAAGTAGTAGAACTGGAGTTTGCAGATAGAAAGAGGGAGAACTGGAGTTTACAGATAGAAAGTAGGAGAACTGGAGTTTACAGATAGAAAGTAGGAGAACTGGANGTGGGTGGCGATTATTGACCCCCCGAGATAATGGTTTGATCCGCCCCTGAACTAAAAAAGGACATATTTCAAAAGTGCATTCTAAACATTAATAACTATGTAGGGATCTTATAAAAAAATCCCATTTCATTGTATTTCATTCAACTGATATCTGAAACAGTATTGAGTTCTTTAAGGTCAAAGAAAGAGGGCAAAGGTTAATATTTACTAAAAATTATACTGACAATATCATTTTTTTTCATTAGATTAGTTTTAAAAATTGGTACAATTTTTCAGAATTTAAGCTTTTGCTTTTAACTTTGGGCGTTTGATTTGAGTTTTGGAATTTTATAAAGTGTTATAAACTTTAGAATTTTATTTTCTAAACATTTGCTTTTCTTACACTACGTTGGTAAGCAAATATATCACAACAATGAAGACGACTTTTTTATTTTGCTTTTGATTGTTAACAAGCTTATTTCGAATTACAAGCTTACAAGTAATCAAAAAGATGCTTTTTTACACTATGCAAAACAAATCAACTTACGGAAAGTTTTTTTCAAACGTTTTCTTCTGCTTTGTAAATATCTTGATTGTAAATTTATCCTTCATTGCAAAAGTCCATACATATATTTGATAATCTTAATCAATATTATTCAATATAGATTCAATGATGATGGGTCCAGAGCTGCTGCAAGCGGGCGTGAAGCGCCAAGAATCCAAACCTGATCACGTTTTTCTCAGGTAATGCACTGATGATCTAATTTGGTCTTCGTCTTAAAGGGACTGCAGTAAGCGTAATTTCAAGTGACCCTCCATGCAATGATCGCAATGGCTGATTTACTGCGGTACACTTAAAGCTTTGTCTGATCAAGTATAAATTAGATATCCATGTTTTGTTCCTGTAAAAAGTTTATTTTCATTTACAGTTTTTCTTTTTGACGACGGTTTCTTACACATTTCTGACCCGATTAAGGTTTAAAAAAAGTACCGCAGTGAATCAGGCATTGCCATCTTTCTCTGCAAATGTCACTTCCATATTTCTTGCTTAAAAGAAGTAATGGGAAAAATTAAACACTTTTTGACTCGAGTCATGACAACTACAGTATCTTCCATATTGTTGAACAGATTAAGATCTGGATCAAGGGAAGTGGGTACCGTTGTACATCAGGCATTACCATCTTTGTTTGAATATGCTTACAGTCACTTTAATATTATTTAATATTTTCCAGCTTGAGATTTATGAAAAATTAGGTCGTCTTCTTTCTTCAAGTTTCTGGAAAAATAGCCTTTAAAGGAATTCTTTTCTCTTCTTTGAAATAAACAGATTAAGACCAAAATTAAGTACAATTTAATGTACATCCTTTTATCTTCTTTATTCATTTTACAAAAAAATCCTTTTTAAAGGGACTGTAGACGTGATATCAGATGACCCCTTTTCTAACTTGGCATGTGCGATTCACAACGGTTTCTTTTATCTCATCTTTAATCTAACATGGGTACTGTTGTGAATAGGACATACCAATCTTAACATGAAGGGTACCTTGAGATATGAATACATTCCACTCAAATAATTGTATTGTTAATGTTTTCTAGGTTTGGACGTGGGTAAGCTAAAGAAGAGAATGAAGGAGACTTCTTAACCATCTTCAAAGTCCAAAAGCCCAATTTTGAAGAAATTTTAGCGCATGTGTAAAATTGAAAACCTGTTCTGGAGAAAGGGGGGAATGCAAACAAACAAATACAATATTTCTGTTTACTTAGTGTTTTTTCTTCTGTTTCTTACTCTCAAATATATTGAAAATAAATAAATGTTTTCTACTTCTTTATGGACATTGATAGCAGATGAGAGCACAAATATTATTAATTAATTAATTATTAATTAAGGATTTATTATTAGTATTATTATTAAGTTAATAAATGTAAATCTAGCTGCTCATTTTTTTAATTTAACTGTATTAAATACAGAAAACTTGACAAAGATTTTCCAAATAGCGACATAGATGTATGTTTTGTATATATGAAGTGAGATCCAGGCCCGTAGATAGGGGGGCACGGGGACACAGGGGCACGTGCCCCCCAACCCTTTTTTCTCTCAAAGGGGGGCACACTTTCTGAGACAAAAAGGAAGAACATGGAAAGAAGGAAACTAAAAAAGAAAGAAAGAAGGAAAAAAGGGGAGCAAATTGGAATGAAATCTAATTTTTGTTTCTATTAATATGTGTAAAGGATTATTTTTCTTAAAACTAAATAAAATTGAGTGCTGTCTAAAAATATCATTTGGGAATTTTTTTATTTCTATTCTGTCTTGTGAAATGAAACGTTGAGGTAAATCGATCCAGGGGTTCATGAGATATGATTGGACACACAAACCGAGCGTACAACTTTAAAATAATTACTGTGGAATAGAAATATACCACATTAAAGTCATATTCAAGTAAATTTGATGTAACACAAAGCAAATGAAACTATTGTAACGTTTTAAATCATTGATTAAGTGAAACAGGTCTGCTGAATTACTGTATTTCTTGACAACTTATATCAGAGTTTTCTGGTTCTCATTTTAGAAAAGAAACCATTATAGTCTGTCCATTGTTAATAATTTGATTACTGTTTTTAATTTTCTCTTGGTCAATAACTTTCAGAAAATATATTTTATATCTCTCCAGGGAAATTGGGTGTTTTAGAAAGTTCTCTAAATTATGACCAAATAATTTCTCCAATTACTGTACATTGAACTAATTAAGTTGCAATTTTTTTAAAATATTAATTTACACCCTAGACCTCCCTCCCCCCCGACCATAACCCTTCTTTTATTCCTGCCTTCTTTTTTTTGTTCGAACCTCCCTTCCTTCCCTCCTTCTTTCATTCC